TTTTATCTGTTTGGATATAAATTACTGGCAGATTGTCTTCGTGTTTTTGTGTTATTTGTCCGCTTCAAGCGCATTTCCATTCGCCATTCGCATTCGCACGGTATGCGCCCAATGTTGGCTAACGCGCGTATAGTCGTAAATGGTATGGTGTTGTGAACAAACGAATTTTATGATGTGATAGCATATTCACATCGAGAAATGGATGTGATGTGGCGATGCCAAATAGCCCGACGTACAAAATGGATAACGTATATGTATACGGGACATCAAAACCGTTGTTACTTCGAAACGTGCAATTAAAATTATAGCCAAAGTCGTAAATGGTCTGGTTTTTAATAGATTCAATTTGTATTAGACAATAATTCTAAAATTTAAAAAAAAAAATCTTCATGGATTATAACGGTTAAAAATGGAACGAAATGCTCTATAATATAGTTTTTTTTTTCTTCTGCTTTTTTATTTGCTTTATAAGTATAATATATTTGCAAGTCGCGACCAAGCCATCAAATGGTCAAAGTCGAGCGAAAGGTACGCTGTATGCAAAACATAAAAAAATGAGAAGAAGAAAAAGGAAAAAGCCACAAATTGATTGAATTGATTCCGAGATGGTCACACGATTATGCGTTGATCGAATTTATGCTCTCACAAATATGCGTGTCCAAATACGGAAATACAAGTAGAATATTTGAATTAAATAGACGAAAGCACAAATCGGTGTGCACGATCTTAATTTGGCGAAATAGTGTCATTCAGTGAGTGTTGATGCTCTCTCGGATATTGATTTGGTCCGTTTTGGCTTTTTCAAACACTTTCACGAAGTATTAAATTAAATACTTCAATGCCATTCGTAAATAGTGAGCGCGTGAGCGCACTCGCACACGTACTTGGATTGGGTTTCAACCACCATTTTATCGTTGCCTGACATTACTAAGCATTTTTCTTCAGTTCATATTTTCCCTACTATATGCCTTACATTGGTTATGTTTCTCTGTGCTTTTTTTCTGCTGTGATTCATTTAATTCGTTCGAACACATTCGATATTTTACGACCGATACAATCTGCTCACAACTAGTTACCGGCTATCAAAATCACACTAAATCAAATTGAATGGTCGTATTATCGTTGGACTTCAATGACAGGCTAATCCTCTGATCGAGATAGTTCTTTTGCGCCGCGCACGATGTTTGCAATGGACGTAAACATGTTTCCATTTTCGTCTGCGTATGTGCGCGATCGCGAGTGCGCATTCATCGTTCAATTGTCATTAAGTGTGTTTATGAGTATGATCTTTTCACTTTTCACACAACGCGCGTGCGCGCCTGCGCTCGCACACACGATTTCATGCTGAAAACGAGGAAGAAGAAAGTATTGAAACGAGAAAAAGAAGGTAAAAAATACCAGAAGAATGTTTCGAATTGTGTTCGGTGTCGGATCGCATTAAATCGCGATCTAGAATGACAAGTATGTTCAGTCTGGACGTCAATCGAATTTTACACGATGTGACATTTTGTAAATTTTGTTTTCTTCTTCTTCCTCTCCTTGCAATTTATGTGACATAAAAATTCAATTAAGAGTAAACTTTCTTCTCTTTTCACTGCAAAAGATTTCTCTATTTTCGATGCGCAAATTTTTTTCGCGTGCGTGAGTGCGTGTGCGCGCGACCAACATTTCAGCTGCTGAGGTGGCCATAGAGTCATTTTTACAAATGGCCAATGAAACGTGATGTATTGCAGCCAAGACTTGGGAAAAGAACGACACGAGAATTTATTACTAAGTGAACATTCCACATGGGAATTTATTACATGAAAAATGGCCATTCGATAGAAAGCCCACCAGAAGAAAAGAAGAAGAAACAAAACGCGACACAACGAAATCTATAAACAACGATCGAGAGAGAAGGAAAAGTGAAAATGTGATTGAAATGCTAATAAATGAAAAGAGACCGAACAGTCAATGGGGTTACATAGTTGGTCATTTACGGACAAATTGATGCGATTTGGTTTAATGTGTTAAATTACAATAGTGTTAAAGGTCGATCAGATGAATTATTGAATGAAATTTATCGATGAATCAATGATTCGTTGACAATATGCTATGTTTAATTGAATCAAAGCACACATACATACACACTTGACTGAATTACAAGCGCGTGACTCAATTTACACTTCCTCTAAGGTGATTTTACTTAAATCGCTTGTTATTCAAATATTAAACTCAATTTTGAGCGCCAGTACACTTATCAAACGTCTGTAAACTCATAGGCAAAACCAAATTTAGCTGACACAAAACTAGTTCGGTGCATTAACGAAGAGTTTCGGTCACTAGTTAGCTGTGGCGGCTATAGATCAATGTGGCGTAGTTATTTCTATGGGGAATTTTTTTTTATTGCCATCAAATGATTCTAGTATTGACTGAATCAAACTGAAAATGAGGCCTCAAGCCGTGTGAATTGGTTCAACAATTGCGACAATTCGATAGTAATGAGATCCGATATAGTACCACAAGTTTGTAATTCATTGCAATTTGTAAGTGCAAACCAAGAATAGAAAGAAGAAAAAAAACACGCAAGCGGTAATAGCAAGCAAAAGTGTTGGCGCGAGCGCGCACGATCGCATACTCACAACAAATGATTTTGTTGTTCGTCGTATATTATCGCCTGTAATTACCAACAATAACAGCTAATCTGCATCGGACGACACGCGTAGAGCAACTTCACATGCAGTAGAAGAAGAAGAAGAAGATGGAAAATAACCATAGCACCGTTGAAAATGAAGACATTCGATTTCTTCTGAGGCCGGTGAATTTTTCAAGGTGAAATGTACATTGTGCATAAAAAGAAAGCACAATCTAATACAATTTCGATTTCTTGTTAACAACAAACGACTCAGTTGATAACGGGCCTAATGAAACGCATATGCCGCCACTCATAATTGTATGCTCTTGATGAGACAGAGAGAGAGAGAGAGAGAGAGAGAGAGAGAGAGAGAGAGAGATGTGTGTGCGCGATGAACCAGTTCTGTTCCATTCGATATACTTTTCCTGCGTTATATGTGATAAAATGTCAAATAAGCTATGTTTAAACTCATTATCTCACTTAACTTAACATTTCATTTCAATTTATATCGAATTTGTTTCCATTTGATTTTGCTGAAAGGCATCAGCAATTGTGCGCCGGTTTGTTTCATCAACGTGTGTGCACGGTGTTCATAGCATTCGCATAGTGTATCATTGTCGACGTCATCATCATAATCATCATGCACGGTGTGTGCTGTGTCGATACATTGTTAGGTGTTTCTATGTTGGTGCTTTCTTGGCCGCACATCGCATATGATTTGTATGCATTTTCATTTTCAAGCGTGATAATGTTGCACGTCGTATAAACGTCTTATAAATTAATTACATGTCTTGTGTGTTAAATTCTTTTTTGATTTATTGGCATGCGATTTGGCCGTGTGTCCGTTCGTCGAAAGGAGAAACCATGGGTTTCATTTAAAATATTGATGACAGAATAAGTTAGTGATTGGGAACAAGTGACAGTGGTTCGATGGGTTTAGGTTTTGGTTCGCCAGTGCCAATGTGTCGCTTTTGGCAAGAAAACCGAAACCGAAAAAGTATACGTACGAATAAAAAAAACAACATAAAAGAGCATGATGTGGAAAAACAAAATGACAAACCTATCGAAAGAACATACGTACACGTGCCATAAAACCAAAACGCTGAAAATGAACTCATTAAGCGCAAACGTTACGGCGTTCAGGTAGGTCGAATCATCAAGAAATCAACTATCCACTCGAGCTCTCATCTGATAAGTAAAAGATAATGCGAAACGGCACCAATTCACATCAGATATGTGTTTTTTTGCGCGCACCATGCGAGAGCACTCTTTTTATATGATTATTATTATTGCTATTATTATTTATTCATTTGCTCAGACTCTATCGCAATGTTAATGCTGATTGGGAACATGTTTACCAAAAAGGTTCAAATCTCGCTCTCTCGCAACAAATCTTGTATGCCGCACATATCATATATATGTATGTATGTGTACAATCGAACAGGAAAACAGCAAATACAATACGCACAACTTAGTAACAATCGAGAGAGAGAGAGAGAGAGAGAGAGAGAGAGAGAGAGAGAGAGAATAAAACAAATGAAATGATAAAAATGGAAAATAAAGCTGAAGATTGATTTTAGGTCACTTTCTTCTTACAGAAACTCTTGTAATTATGCAAATTGTAGACAGTCATGTTGCTTACAGTACAACGCGCCAATCGAATCGAATTGCGGTTGGTTTGTGCGTTGGTGCACACATATACACAATCTTCCATTCAACGTTTTCGCGAACACATTTCTTCTCTTTCCTCTTCTGCTTCGTCTTTTGTGTGTGTGTGTGTTTTTCTCTCTGAACCCGGTTTACATCTTGGTCTTGGATTGCAATGTGAATTTCTATGTTTTGGCGTTGAAATTGTGCGGAAAAACAATTCGACTGGAGGGCTTGATGACCGATTTGCAAGTGAGTCGGCTGGCTCCCAAGAATTGTATACATCAGCATCAATATTATTGCTGATAAAAAGAAAACATATGATGACTTCCGATTACCACACTTTTTGCTTATTGTGCTGTCAATGTTATTGATAATTTGCCTGATGGCCAACAGCAACAACAACAACAAAATCACATATAAACTTTTCTTCGGTCGATTGAATCGATGCGCGACCTATTCGATTTGCCGAACTCATAAATATATAAATGTATGCTAATGATATGCTGGAAATTCTTATATCTGGAATGGTTCCATTTGGCACAAACAAGAATGTCTCTACAGAAAATCCATTTGCCGTTTCTCTCTCTCTCTCTCCCTCTCTCTTTCTCTCTCTCTCTCTTTCTCTCCTTCTTTCTCTCGCTTTTTGTGTATTATTCGGAAATTCATAAGCATTTAAAATTCAATTTCTCTTTCTTTTGTGTTCGTTTCGCGCAACGATATATTGTCGGTCACACAGAATTTGCATCGCTCCAAATTCAGACACAGTCCGAGCCCAGACAACGTGATGCCAGCGATGGATCTCAGATAAATCAACGTAATTCGAAAGCCGTGACACCACCACCATCGAATTGCCCACGGACGTGCCCCGTATTGACATCACTTCAAGATCCACCAGTATGCGGTACGGATGGCTTGATTTACGCCAACTCATGTGAAATGAAGAAAAAGACCTGCATCCGAAATGGTGCTGCAAATGTTAAGGTAATTTTTGTATCAATTCTTTTTTTGTCTGTTGGCACGATTATTTATGTTAAGGTAATTTTTGTATCAATTCTTTTTTTGTCTGTTGGCACGATTATTTATGGAGAATTGACACTTAAATTGGTAATTCCAAGAAAATAACTAGCAATTTAACCAATTCAAGAGATATTAATTGACCGAAAGAAAATAAAAATGTATAACAGCGATTCTTTCAATCAATGTCACATTTTCGTACTCTTATTCGTGGCATTGAAACAATTTAAATTGCACCGACGAACAAAGAAAAACGTGCTATTTATCGATGCGTTCCTTCATAAATTTACCGGCTGAAAGACAAGCTTAAAATAAATGCATGTCGGTGATTTTATGAGCATGTCATTTTTATCTTTCTTATTTGGGGTTCGCCTGTCAAAACGAAAAAAAAAAAAATAAATAAATGGATGATGATAAGCAAATGAACGAGAAGGTGATTTTTCAATTTGCTCTTCGCCATCCAATTCTTTTTCGGGTCTAAATTCGTTCTCGTGTGTCCGTCCCTTTATATGATGAAGCTTCTTTTTTTCTTGCGTTTTTTTATAAATGAATTTATTTGCAGGAAGCAGTAAATGGTTGTGAACGTGCCACCGGATCGGCATGCATGCATCGTTGTCCAACCGATAAAGATCATGTTTGTGCCACAGACGGTCGAACGTATTTGAACAGGTAAGTGATTATTTGGTGTATTTGATTTGATAACTTCGCATTCATTTCATTTAAATGAACAGTTCCATTGATAAAATGAAAACGATGTATTTCTTTGGTTCTTGATTCGTTTGCTTTATTTTTCATTTATTTCCGGCCATTTGTTTTCATACATTTCATTATGGATTCCCATTTTTAGATGTATGCTTCGAGTGCAAGCATGTCGAGTGGGTTTGGCAGCTGTAGCATTAGCTCATGTTGGTCCTTGTGGCAATACGAGTGCAATTCGTGAATCTTGCCCGGTTGATTGTAACAGTGCACCCAAAGACGGTCCAACCTGTGGAAGCGATGGAAATGTGTACAATTCAACGTGCGAGATGAAATTGTTGACTTGTGGTCAGGGTGTCGTACGAACAAATCGCAAAAATTGCCAGAGCACAAGGATGTGCAGAGAGAGTTGCTGGCGAGTGGCTCGTCCGACTTGTGGAAGTGATGGCCGCATCTATGCATCTGCCTGTAAAATGCGGTCAACAAATTGTGGAAAGCACATTTTCGAAGTTCCAATGTCGTATTGTATGATGCAGGAGCAACGAACCGCAAACACTGCCGGCAACCAACCAATGGATTGTCCAACAGATTGTGCGAAAACCGTACAGCAACTCGTTTGCGGGAGCGATGGTAACATTTACAGTTCAATGTGCGAACTCAAAATGTTGAATTGTGGGTAAGTTGTTAGCAACAGTTCGGTCGAATTTGTCATACATTCCAAACTGACCATTATTAAACGAGAACTGACTCCCACCCTCCCTCTCTCTCCGTTTCTATTTACCCATTAGTACTCCAAAGAAGTCAATTCAATCGGTGCCGATGGAACGATGCAAATCACGATTGGCAAAGTGCAAAAAACTCGCTGCCTGCAGCAAAGAGCGTTACGCTGGCCTAGTCAAACCATCGAAAAATGATTATTTGTAATTTAAATTTAAAAAAAAAACAAATTTATAAAATTGTTTATTTTTATAAATTTTTTATCTTTAGGTGCGGAACTGATTCGAAAACTTATAAATCCGAATGCGATTTGGCCCAGGCCAACTGCTTGTAAGTAAATTATTTTTTATGTTTTTTTTTTCATCTTCATTTGTTTTTCTCTGCAAATTTACGTTCAATTTGTGTTTGTTTTTTGCAGGCGTAATGTTCAATTGGCTCACATTGGCGCTTGCACCAAGCTCAAGACCAATATTTTCCAATGCAATGAAAAATGCACGGATAGCGACAGTACGACCGGCCCAATTTGTGCTTCCGATGGAAATGTGTATCGAACACTGTGCGAAATGAAAGAGAAAACGTGTGGCAGTCGCGTTGTTCCCGTGTCGTTGAAAAATTGTGCAACGACTGCCTACTGCAATGCTGATTGCGATGCGGAAGCTGCATCATTTGTTTGTGGCTCCGATAATAAATTTTATCGAAGCGAATGCCATATGCGTAAAGAAAATTGCGGTAAACACATGTTCATCATACCGATGAAACGTTGTTTGGCCGCATTCACGTTCAAAGGATGCGCTCGTATGTGCCCACAGGACTTTGAACCCGTGTGCGGAACAGATTCGAAAACTTATTCAAATGAATGCTTTTTGAGCATAGAAAATTGCCGATCGCGAAATAATGTGCAATTAAAACACCACGGAACTTGCGGTCGACCCGAACAACCAGCACAAAACTATTTATACTAATTCATAGGCGCATATAAATAAATGTAAAAAAAACAACTTTTTTAACCGAATTTCGTTTTCACATTTTTATGTGTATTATTCAAGCTACAAAAAAAAATCATCACACATACAAACATTATCATAAATAATTAGCGAATATCCCCCTTACAGAAACAACAACAAACAAACAAATAAGTTTAAAAAGATATACGACAAAATTCTTAGTGATCTGACGTCTGCAATAAATTTTTTTCTTTACAACAGAATTCAAAGCAACCGAAAATCAATAAAAAAAAAATAAAAGCAAAAAAAAACGTAACTTTGTTCACACATCGACTGATTGATTGATAAATTGGCTCAAACATATCGAAAACTAGGAATTTTTGTACAAAATACTTTTGTATTGAATCTAGATATTATATATATATTTAAAGCTAAATTAATGAGAAAAAAAAACATTATTATCAAGTTATCATAATATTTATTGACATTTATTATACAATTTTTCTCTCTTAGTTCTTCACTTTGAAACTTTGATAACAGCAACAACAACAATGACGACGACGACGATTTTTGGTTAATACTCATTTCAGTCTAAAATAAGTGCTATAAGGAAAAATATTGTTCTTGATACTATATTCCAACGTTAATCTGTTTATGTATTATGTAATCGTTTCCTTTTAATACGAAATAAAAATACGTGGAAAAATTGAAATTCACGAATACTCGAACTTGATATTAGCCGTTTTATTTCGATGCAGCGAACGCAACCCTTTCGAAATGCATAGGATAAGCAAATCATTTTTGAAATTGATTTCCCTCAAAGTGAGTTCTACACAACCATCATCTCAGAGTCATCTGTAGAGCGATAAGTAAGCTTTGACATTTTATGTTTGAAAAGTTCACAAGATACTTATGCTAAATCGGTTGGAAATTCCAAAGGAAAACAATCTTGATTTTCAATGGGTTCCTATTATCGTATTCGTCCACCCATTTTTCCCCTTCATAATTTGTGCCTGACTGGCTGAATATAAGTTAACCCTTTGACGACCAAAGCTGAACGGCTTGGAATTTTGCAATTCTGATAGCAGATTCGTGCTCAGCGACCCCAAAAACCTTAGTAAAAGTGTTATCAAAAATTAATTTTTTCAACTGAAAATATGAAAAAAATGATGGACCATTGGTCGGTAACGGTAACTACCTTTGTATGGAAGAAAATATGTCTCCCATAAGAACTACGTGTAAAATCTTTTTCGTTTTTAAGATGTTCAGAATTGTTTGGAACCGAAAATGGTTTGAATTGTGCTTTGTTGTGCCCATTTAATCACGAATTTGATGATATTTTTGTAAATTTTGGTTTTTGAAAATTCGCGAATAATGGTCAAAATACAGGCAAACCAGTGGTAATTAGTTACCTTTACCGACCAATGGGACACATATGTCCCATCGCGCCAAAAGCAATAAAAATTTAAAAAAATATTTTTTTGGAGAAAAGTCGATTATTTTTAGAAAGTAACGGACATTCCGAACAACATTTCAAATTTTCAGCTTTAAAAGTTGCACCGTTCAAATTATATAGGGTTTGGCGCAACTTGAAAAAAAAGTCAAGATTTTTTGACTTTGGAGTGTTCTATTTGAGCACAGTGATGATAAATATCCAATATTATGGTACTTTCTGGTAGCTACATTCATTCTCTTTTAATAGAAACCAATTTTATCGAAATCGGTTTAAAAATGTGAAAATTATTGACGAAAAACAAAATGGGACATATGTGTCCCAAAGGTCGTCAAAGGGTTAATACGATGGATAAAAATGGTGTTTTTTAAACCACCAAACTCTGTTCAAAGTTGTGTAGACTAAAAGCCGTTCGTATATATTAACTTCAAGTCTAAACTTTCTGAACAAAACTATTGCAAACACATCGAATACCGTGTGAAAAAATAGTAAGTGAGCAGTCAGTTAACTGATTTGGGACAAAAATGACTTACTTTGATTGACATTTCAGTACAACGCGTAGTGTCAGTCTATCATAGTTAACTGAATTCATTTGAAGTTACAAGTCAATCTAAGTTGCTTCATTTGGGACCAAGTGATTTTCTTAGAACAAAAACATAAATTCAATCAACTGAAGTCAACTGAAGTTACAAGTCAATCTAGTCAGTCGGTCATTTTTTTTCACACGGGACATTCAATAAATAGATTCAACAAGAAAACACATATTCAGCGTATTTTTAATGAAAGAACATGAAAATAAACTAGTGACAATGTTGTTTTGGGTAAATAGATTTAATTTTTAAGTATTCTATTGATACTTATTGGTTAAGTATTGGCATATACTTTGATACATCACTGCTGAAACTGAAACGTCATTGCATGAACAAAGTAAAAGTGTAAACAATAATATGAGGTGCAGCAAAGACGAAAAGGTTAATCGAAGAGATGGAAAAACTATCGAATTCCACCAAGAATTGAACACATCGTCAACCTGCAATCTCAACGATTTGCCGCAACAAAAACTGCTATCATCACCACATCGCGCCGTCATCAGAATTTTGTTAAGTTCCAGCTTACCAACAAGACGATGATGGTTTGTAAATTTATTTTTGATATTTCAATGATGATGTTGATTAAAAGGACTTAATAACATAGGGCCAAGTACTTCAATGAACAACACAACACCAGCGAAAGAACGTCTCAAGAAATAGACGAAGAGCGATTTTGATAGCAGATTTGATTGATTGAGATTAGAAGTGGCAAATACAGTGACCATTGCCTACTTTGATATCACCACTGAAAAACGGTATCAAAGCTGCAGCTGAAAGTTTCGCTCAACATCCCGAAAGCAAAGACACCGCACGCTCGTTTAAATCGTTGAATCGACAATGAAAGAGCTAGGAAAGACAGTGAGGGAGGCAATGCAAGAAGCAACAAAGGTAACATTTACATCAGACGGCACTGGCACAATGAAGGTCACAAAAATGTGGCTCGATAAGTTTTATTCGACTGCTTCCGTGGGTAAAAATCCTGACACCAATAAGCATATGCTGGAATAAGGACGATGATAAACGATAAATCACCTAACGATTTCAAAAACAACTAAAATATGATAATCAAAGCTTAAACGTAAAATGTTCAAATTGACCAAAAAATAAATTCAAGTTTTATACATAAAAATCGGTCAAAACGAAACGGCTCCTTATTTTCTAAAGGCACATATTTTTTTCATGCATGCACGATTTTTTTCTCCATGATTTGTGTTTAAATAGCTGAAAAAAAAGTTCATAAGATGAATGAAAACGGCATTTTCAAACCATGAAATAGCACACTTGAGCGAAGTGCCGTAGATGTCGCACCATGACCAATGGGAGAGTTATATGAACATATCTGAGTGATAAGTCAGAATTGGTATGCGTTGCATGTAGGTATGAGCGAGATGACTCTAACCGACCGGTTCGTTTGTGCTGATGCTGCAAAACAGAGACGCACTGCACTAACTCAACGACCGTGTATGTTTTTGTCATTTGTGTTAGTGTTATAGACAAACACACTTGCTGGTTTCCACATACACACACACACACACAAACACACAATTGCCCGTTTCGACGTACAAATCTCTCCACAAATATTTCATACATGAGGAAAAAGTCATTTACTCTGTGAATACGAATAGAGATGAGTGTGCGTTCTCTTTCTTGCCAGCACTTTCGGTTTGCTGTTAAGCTACGGTGTTGTCAAAAGTAGATTGTCCATCGCGCAATAATGTCGTCGCTATAAGCCGTACTGTGAATTATCTTTGTATATAGTGACATTTTGAGTTTTTTTTCATTGTTGTTGTTTTTCCACATTTAAAATTGCCCGATTTAAAGAGGACAAAACGATAAAAAAAGGAAATAACTTGATCAGCAAAATTCTAAAATAAATGTTGTTTATACGGAATTCGTCGAAAAAACAGTGTGTAGTGTTGTTGACGAGAACAAAGTAGTGCAATTTTGTCAACGAAAAAGCGCAGCTTTCGTTTGCCATTCAATTGAATATTGCATAGACACTCAACCAAAAAAAACCAAAGCAAACAACAGCGTTCCATGAAATGCGATGGGGACATGAATAAAACAGCATCTATTGCAATGACAATCGAATTGATGAAATGTCCATTTTAATGATAGAGTTTATCATGGATATTGGAGATTGCGCCCAGTTTTGTTGTTGACGATGAAAATTCCCAAGTGAAGTGTGAACACACACACACACGCATTCGACCGAATTATTTTGACGTGATTCGTAGTCGCCCTCATCAGTCGTTGTCATCATACGCTGCCATCGTTATGGTTATTGTGATTCTGATTTCGAATGATATCTACACATATTTTGCATGAATAAATGAAAAACACTGCGTTTCTGCGTCAAATAAAAGTGTATGAAATGAGGAATTTTTATTTAATTTTCTCGTTTGAATTAAACGCCGATTAAAGACCTAACAAAACACTCACACACATAAATACACACACAAAGTACAGTATTCTATACAGTCACTCAGAAGAGGCGGATATTGTGTACGATCGTAAACAGTTTGCGAATAACCAAGTAAAATTGAACACATACGAGAGGGAGAGTGAATCAGAGAGAAAAAAGGAATAAATAGCCGCTACATCGTCATGTTATCGAAATGAAAATAGCAAAATTAAACTAGCAACAAACTGTCCACACAGGAAATCGAGTGCAAAAAAAATATATAGGGGGCAACGTGTGTTCGTAAAGTACATCAAACAAAAAATTTAATATGATTTCATTCACATGAAATGTGATTTCCTTGCGAGCGGCTGAGCGTATTGTGATGAGTTTAAAATAATCCACAATGACCCAGTAAACAAATGAACAACAAAGAATTAAACAATACAACGATTCGGTGACACTGAAATCAGTGCAAGTGCAATTTAAAGTGTTAAATGTGATGCTGTTGTACGGGAATAAAAACAAGTCGTTCAAACATTCGATTAACTGTCACAATTGAACAAGTTTTGATGCGATTGCTCTAATTCGGTGTTTGCAATGAAAATTCAATGAAATTCGATTTTTAAACTTGTGTTCGCATTGAATCCGGTGTGTGTATCTGTGTGCGTCGGAAACTGGGGAAAACAAACTGAGAAAAAAAAACATTCAATTAATTGCAACCCAAGAATCGCAACCAACATAAACAACTGAAAAGAAAAAAAACTAAGTCAAAACCAACGTGGAATCCAAATCATACGGGAAGTGTGCATTAAGATTTTGTTGGTAATTTTTCTGTCGACGATTACTGATAGCACTTATGTTGCAATAACCGACTATTTCTTCTTGCTTTCTCGTATACATTATTTCTCTGTTCTCTCGTACATTTATTCGAATGAAATCACGGCCCGATTGTGAATGCAAAACGTGTTTCCGATACGTGCGAGTTAAATTGTAAGAAGAAAGAAAACAGAGAGAGAAAAAAACCTATAAAACAACGAAACAACAATTTTTGTGTGTACATGATATTTTCTTTGGATACGCACACACCAACTCCGTTGCTGAAACATCGAAATTGTGGGTTTATTGTGCGATTAATCTAAGCGCACTGTATGCGTTGTGCTGTTATTTTTTTCATGTATATATTTGGTATATTCGAACTTATCGGTGTATCCAGCGATCTAGCAGCGACCGCACGAACGATTGGTGTGTACGTTTGTGCAAGTGCATAAATTGATTGAAGCGAAGTCGGCGAGTTTACGCGTAATTTGGGTCTCTGAATACAATTGACCGACTGAAAAAAAATTTTTTAATACATCAACAAAACGGAAACAATCAGCAACGCTTATAAAGGCACAGAAACCCCGAGAGCGAGAGAGATGAGCAGGTCAACTCGGATGGCAAATTAGGAATTAATCAACGCATTCGCAAGTGTTTATGTGTAGAAAAAAAAGTTTCAATGGTGGTCGATGATTACTTGCGGATGGGCATGCACAAGTAGTGGCGAATTTCATGTTGATTTCCTTCGTGGTCAACTTTTAATTACATCAACTGTTCGATGCTTGTGCAGTATCGTTTTTTTTTTCTCCTTTTGTTGTTTTTTTTCTGCTTGAGTTAAACTCTCCAGACATAGTGTGATATCAGCGCTTCGATTTTATTAACGCACACGTGGTAGCTCAAGAATCACATCATTAAATCGAGTTCCCATCACTATTGCACCATGGCTTGAAACAACAATCCAACCGAAAGAAAGAAAAACACAACGATATGATATAGACAAAAGAAGAGTCGTTTTTTTTCTCTTCAAAAGGCACAAAAAATAATATCACGAACAATACAAAAGAGGCAAAGGAATCAAGTTCAGCTCGATACGCATAGAGAGGAGCAATAACAAATAAACATAATTAAATCGAAGAGAAAGAAGAGAGTGAGAGAGAGAGAGAGAGAGAGAGAGAGAGAGAGAGAGAGAGAGAGGAAAAGCATACACAACAAATCTCTTATTATGTTTGGTGTTTTGTAGAAAACTAATACGCACACACATAGAGTAGATAGATGAACTGACAGAAAGAGAGCGAGAAAGAGAATCTGAACTCAATTTGACGAGAACAACATCTTTCTATGCTGAGTGAGATATAACATACTAACATTGGAGAAAAGTGCGAAGCGATAGAATAAAAAACAAGAAGAAGAAGAAAAAGAACTCTGTATGTATATATACGCATACACACTGAAAGGAAGATAGAAGAAGAAAAGAAAGAAAAAATCATCGAGAATCAGATTTAGCATTTATTTGTATCGTTTATTTGTGCATACGCAACATATACTGGCATTGATGCCTAATTGTACGGCGGTAACATAGAAAAAGATACAGAAAAGCAACAAACACACAGAAAGATTACCGTTTACCACGGACTTGGAATACACTACACGAGAGCGGAATAACAAAAAAAGAAACAACAACAATAACACCACGGCGGAAGATATATATATATATATATGAAGCATTCTTAATACAGTACCTACATATAAATTATTCCACACATATAGGCAAAGCGACAGGCAAGAGACAACAAACCAACCAGCCAACCAACCAGACAGCCAGAGAGCGAGAGAACGTGTGTATATTTCGATGCCCATGTACACGTAATAATAAATGTAGAGAAGAATCGACAGAAAAATACAAACGAAAAGGAAAAATTCTGAAAAAGGAACACAGAAGAAAAACGTGAAAAAGGCAAAAATTTATATATATACATATATCAAGCGAAGAGAAGAGAGAGAAAAAAATAAACTACACACATCTCCCGAAAAATAAAATACAGAATACACCAAAACAACACAGAAAAGAGAAAGAAAGAGCACATAACTTCTGATAAATTCAAAATGGCGGCAAGTCGAACTCGTATGCAACAAACAAAAAACATATCATCAATATTTTCGAAACTGCACGGTGCACTGTCCGATGCGTGTAGCCCACAAAAAATGTCCACCGATAAGAAAACACTGGACAAAACATGGAAACTTATGGACAAAGTGGTGCGACAGTGTCAGCAATCGAAAATGAATTTGAAAAATAGTCCGCCATTCATTCTCGATATATTGCCCGACACATATCAACGGTTGCGGTTAATCTATTCAAAGTATGAACACCAAATGCACATACTGCATGCAAATGAGCACTTTAATGTGTTTATCAACAATTTGATGCGTAAATGTAAGCAAGCAATCAAACTGTTCAAGGAGGGCAAGGAGAAAATGTTCGACGAGAATTCGCATTATCGTCGTAACTTAACGAAACTTAGTCTAGTGTTTTCACATATGTTAAGCGAATTGAAAGCAATCTTTCCGAATGGGGTATTTGCCGGCGACCAATTTCGGATTACCAAAGCGGATGCAGCGGATTTTTGGAAGGCCAATTTCGGCAATAGGTAAGTGCCCGCATTCCCCTCGAAATATGACGATATACACGGATTTAAATGTTTTTTTTCTCTCTTTTGCCAATGATGATGATGATAACATGATTTTATCCTCTTTTATATCCTGTTTTGATCTATTTCACCTGTCTGTCGCATTGTTTTCGTTGCATGGAAAAGAAGCACTTGCTTTTTGCGGTTTCCGCATTTTGACGGCACGTGATCGATCAACGAGTGTTTTTTCTTCGTTCGTATGCTTATGTTTTGTTACTTTTAGTATTGATAGGATGAGCGACTCACTACCTTGTGCTATCACCACAAAATATGTCAGTGGATCGGCAACAAGCTATTACATTTTTTTTTGCTCTGTCGACAAATCAGTTTCGAAACGGTTTCAGATTATGGCATTTCCTGACAGAATGAGCAAACAATCAAAGTTCGTCACGGGTCAATGAGTCATGTTTTTCAAGTGAAAATGTTTATTTTAAATCTCCAGTATCGTATTAAAATTGAAACAATTTTTCTTAGCAAAATCTCTGACTATTGATGGATTGATTACACGTATGCAAGCTTAATCACCATCGGTTAATCATTCGTTCGCTGATTTCATTACTCACAACATTTCACTGTCGAGAATTGAACCTTATCGAACAAAGAAACTCCTGATAAAAAAAAGTTGTTTTTTTTTCTTTAATAGAACCACTTTCTCTACAGCTCGATATTATGCGCATTGAGCTCAGGATGTGACACAATGAAATCACTCATGTCACAATTGAGTCGACGAATTCTTGTCAGAAGAATTCGACGCAACAATCAAACAAATTTTTATGCCGTTTCTTGCCACGACGATCCTGTAGAACTGTTTGCGTTCGTTTTCCAATTTACATTTTTTTTCGTTTTTGTTGTTTTGTTTTTCGATGTCTTTTGTTTTTGACCCATTCAATTTTGAGAAAACAATGAGAATGAGAAAATAAGAAAAAAAATGAAAAAAAATGGATTAACGGCCACACAATAGAATCATGAAACGACATAGAGTAGCATATCGCTTTCGACACACGATCAAATATATGCGCGATGACGAAGGCGGCGATAAATGAACGAGAAAAAAAAACCAATACAAAAAAACAATTCAAGAGTAAAACGACGTACGCAAGGAAATAGAATAAATGATATTGACGCTTTCTGAATATAAGCTGTAATAGAACATAGCATAAATTGAATTTCTATCGAAATTGATGGCATTTCCACGAAACGATATACGCTTATCAATTTCTCTTTCTCAGCGCTCTAATGAATGAATTACCATCCTCGATTCTCTCAACGCTGTCACTGTGAGTAAATATCCGACTGATTTCAGTATTTATATCGACGGCGCCCATTCATCCGTAATAGGTTCGTCCACTTGTAATACAATGTAAATGTTGCTATTGAATTTGATGAGCCCACACTCATATTATCGTCATCGTTTCCCATTTTTAGATTATTATTTATTGCATTACGCGATTGCGAGAAAAATCGTCTGCCTCGGCCAAACAATCATTATGCTTTGACGCCGTAGCGCGCAAACCACCTTTTTGTTTTGTTCAATGAAGCGTCTGTTGAACGGGTGTATGTGTCTTGTCTCGAAAGGCATCAATAGATGCGCCTGAAAAACGGAGTTCACTGCCAAATTTCAAATTTCTAATTTGTTAATCGTTCAACGAATGAGCGAGCGCATGAATGAAAATCTTGCTGTTTTCACCGTACACTTCACTCGGATTACTTGTCACGACATTTAGTATGTGTGTGACAAATTGCGAGAAATTCAATTTTCAGACAGTTGCAATTTGTTTTGCAACTGTTCGAGTGGAGAGAAAATAAGGTCAAATGTCGTACACGGCTAACATATACAGTGGAACCTCGGAAATTAGCAGGTGTTTGTACTTTGGGTACTTCTAATTTCTGAATTCTTCTAATTTCGGAGGCAAATTTTTTTTGCATTATTTTTGCAGTTAAATGAACAAAATGACACTACAGTAACACCAGAACGAAATTCCCAAATAAAAATATAACTTTGAAACATACTTTTAACAAGATTCCAATATTTTTGATACTCTGCCTTAATAATTCTTTTCAATAATATTCCAATTTAATTAGAAGAATTATCAGACAAAACAATTCATTTATTTCGAGATGAAAGATTATAAAAACTATGGAGATGTATTTTTGCCATAAAAAACGAATGTAAAGTAAATTTGGAGCAATCCGAATCCAAAAAAACAAAATTTGTTCATTTTTGGACGAAAATCGAACATATTTTTAGAAGATTTTGAGTTCAATTTGCTTCAAATCAGCCATGTCTGTATATTTTAACGATGAAATGCTCCTAAAAAATTTCACTTTCAAATAGAATTCTAATTAATATGTTTTGTTTCGAGACTTTGAAGCTGAGGCTCATAATTTTCGAAAAAAAACCTCAAATAGTGATTCAATTCCTTAGTTTCGTCAAGCAATTCCAATCGATACTTTGTTCCATTTAAAATATTTTTCGTTCGATACAATAGATGCATTGCATTAAATAAGCATTAAAAAAGTACCTCTGAAATTAGAAGACAATCTTCTAATTTCAGAAGCAGCAATGGAGCGGAGAATTCTCTTCTAATTTCGGAGGAATTCTAATTTCTGGATCTTCTAATTTCCGAGGTTCCACTGTATTACAATCCAGCGGAGTAGAGTGAACACTAGGGTGTTTTCGGTATTAAATAAACAGAAAATGGTAGTTTTAGTTTGATAGAGCAGAGAATTTGGAATCGATTTCATATATTTTTGTTCGGAATCAGTCCAAGATGCCACTTCCCACAAGCAAAACAAATGTTCGTCGAATTTTGAGGTTATATCACTATTCGCTGAAACTAATCTGATATTTTCCACTTTTTTCGATTCAATCTCACTATCAGAGATGAATTCTCAATGCAAACATTTATTTTCACGTAATTTTCATTGGAAAAAGTGGCCAAATAGTCGAAAATTCACACAAATTGTATTGCCTTTTTGACCGGTTCTTCAACCATAGAAAAAACACCGACAAACTCATTTTTTTTCACAAAAATTCATTCAATGGGTTTGAAATACGCGATAAATTAACTAAATCCACTAAAATATCCAATCGGACAAAACCAGGAAGTGCATTGGTAGCCCTTCAAAATGTCAAAGAAGCTCAGATTTCATGATGACAGCTCATTTTGTTTACGTTTTGGTTTTGCTGCAATTTGGCCTTCCTGGTTTTTTTCGATTGGATATTTTAGTGCATTTAGATAATTTATCGTCTATTTCAAACTCATTGAATGAATTTCTGTGAAAAAAATGAGTTTGTCGGTGTTTTTTCTATGACTGAAGAACCGGTCAAAGAGGCAATACAATTTGTGTGAATTCTCGACTATTTGGCCACTTATTCCAATGAAAATTACGTGAAAATAAATGTTTGCATTGAGAATTCATCTCTGGTAGTGAGATTGAATCGAAAAAAGTGGAAAATATCAGATTAGTTTCAGCGAATAGTGATATAACCTCAAAATTCGACGAACATTTGTTTTGCTTGTGGGAAGTGGCATCTTGGACTGATTCCGAACAAAAATATATGAAATCGATTCCAAATTCTCTGCTCTATCAAACTAAAACTACCATTTTCTGTTTATTTAATACCGAAAACACCCTAGTGAACACAAAACACACCGACCGCAAACCATTGAAACGCGGTGACATACTCGCTTTTTCGCTGTCTTCCCATATGGGGGGCACCATGTTTTTATTTTCCAATAGGCCTCTGCGTTGCAGTAAACATCATCAGAATAAAAAGTCGAAAGCATTTTTCACAAACAAAAGTACCATTAAAATTCTCTCATCCGCTCTCCCTCTCTCTCACCTTCACTTCACTCACTTTTTGCACACACACACACACACACATGTAAGCCCTTAGATATTTAATTGAATTTGGTTTCCCAGTTCATTCTTTTTTCTCTTCGTTCTTTCACTGTTATCAGCCGAACGAGCATTATGGTTTCGAGCGTTGAAATTTCTTGCATTGTGAAAAGTGGGAACTTTTTTTTCTCTGCCACGACACGATTGATTGAGTGAGAGTAAAGCAAAAAAAAAATAGACAAAGTAGTAATGAGAGAAGAAGAAAAAACGCTGAAATATGTGCTTTGCTCAGCAAACCAGTTTGATGCGAGCAAAAAACAAATACAATATATGACGACACTGAAAAATATTTTCAGTTTTAAATGGTCACTAGAAATGCTCAGCGCTTGGCTTCGGTTTCGACGCATATAGTGAAAATTGCATACACGCAAAGGGTGTGAATAGCGTCAAATCGTACACAATATCAATTTTCATAAATTTCAACTAGTCATGAACTAGCTCAAACTATGGGCAAAAAACCGAGCCACGAAATAAGCGAAAAGTCAAAAACATGCCACCCTCACACATCCGACACTGGTAATCATTATGTTTCACTCGCACTTGGATTTCCTGTTTGAATGACGTATTACAAACAGTTATATATTTTTAGCGAATATACAAGTGAATTCGATAATAGATTGACAGTGTCATTGATGCGTTTGCGTGTAATATTCATCAATAATAATCGTTGAAAGTGCCGCTTTTGAGGCGAGCAAATAGGCGCAAAACAGAGCGGAAAAAAATAACAACAATAACACGAACAGTATCGGCAACGACAACGACCAACGTGATTAAGTATCAAAACAGAAGCAAAATGAATCTTGTTACATTTGTAACGCATACTTTTCGTGATTTCATCACCGCAACACATGACTGAGTTGATTGCACAAGTTTGGAAAGAAAAAAACAAACAAAATAATAAACTAAATGAGTTTAAGGTTGGCTCACACACATATGGCTGCGAAAACGAATTGTCAAATTAATCGTCTGCATTCCCTTCCAAAAAGGAATACCCCGATTGAATGGAGCCCGTGTGTTCGTTACACATTGCAATTTTCATATTATTTCTTTCATTTTCGAGTTGTATAATTCCGACGCCGCAGTACGCAAACACATGCCACAATTGCAATGAGCATAAACCGAATGCGCCACAAAATGAATATTATATTTCCGCCAGAACGAAACTATTTTTAAAAATGAACACGTTTGAAAGTCGTCTAATTTTAAATTACCGATTTCATGCAAAATTATTGCACCCAAACCAACAAACGATGTGCATGCATTGTGAATGTGTCAAAAGCATTGGCTTTTTTTTCGGATCGAATCGAATAGAAAAGCAGAAGAATAAGAAAAAAACGGCAAGCAACAAACCAAACGAATAACATGTTTACAAATGATTTAATGTCGAGTCAATTATGAAGAATAAAATAAAAACATATGGAAAAAAAACGAAGTCATTACAATTCACGTTTGAAGTGCGCGCTTCAATGAGTAATGCCGATTTTGTGTAAAATGTATGTGCGTAACATAAGCACGCACCTTGAAATTATTTGCTGTAGTGCAATCGATAACAATTCTCTGTTCGTCAATGCATAAGCAAAAATGACACAACCGAAAAAAAATGTGTACAATTCATTTCGTGCAAGCATTTGTTCGAGTGGTCTTCAAATTCTCAATTCATAAACCATTTGGATCTTCTTCTTCTTTTTTCTCATTTGTGAAAAATATGCCTCGGTTGGAAAACTAACATCGAACTAAATTGTGTATTGAGGGATTTGTATTATGGCACAAAATCACTGGTTAATGCAGGTTAGGCAATTCATTTCTACCTGGTTTTCGTTTTTTGATGTTGAATCTATCGGTGCCCATGATTGTACTGTTCATTGTCAGACGAGCAAAAGTCAAACGGAAGAGAGAAAACAGAATGAAAATGTTGGGTAACACACAAAAACATACTCACACATATACGCACATAAAAGACACAGAAGAACGGCCTCAAGATGATGGGACAAAACAAAGAATATTCTCAGCACTCACACCGTTTTGACCTCAATTAACAATCAATCGGGTATCTTTGTGTGTCTCTGTGTATGTGTATTTTATGTTCTTCCTAGATAGTAGTATGCTCTTTCGTTTTATTTTTATTTCTACGTGATTCGTCTATTAATTTATACGTTTTTGTATCTATGATTTTGGTTCTTGGGCTGTGCAGCAATCGCTATCGCCTATGCATAACACATACCATAAGTCAAGGCACACATAAATGAATTAATAATATCAAAAAAGCCGGTTTTTTTCTTTAACGGAGACACCGATTCCAAATCCGACCTGTGAATATGCATGAGGTATAAGCTGAACGAAACATACGACGCATCGGTGAATATGGCTATGGAAATGAGCGCCAAAGCCAGTATCTCCGATCGAGTACATGAAATCCGATCGAGATTAGATGAAAATCAAAATCGACAAAAAATAAATACGTGCTAATTCTCTGTATATAGTGTTCATACGGCCCACGATAAATTCGATTGAAATTACAGTCGAAGGAGCCACTTTACACATCGCTAACCCAATGCATAACACTCAAATATGGTTTACGACATTGCTGAAAACAGCGCGGTGCGCACAAACAAACAAGTTCATAAGACAACGACGACGACGAGACGATGATGGTTTGGTTGAAGTGTACGCGCGGCCGTAGGCTGATTTGTATAGCTTATTTGACCGTGTCGTTTGAAATAATATTGAGAAAAAAGAAGAAAAAAAAACAAACCCGAACCGAAAAGATGTAATGAGTTTTTAATGATGATTTACATCATGAGCCGTTCCATGCTGCCCAACAAAACCCAATCAAATGATCACTGCTCCTAATTCTCTAGTGTGCGATGCACATCCAAAAAAAAAAAACATTGATAAATAATCTCGGTCAAAGTGTCGATGAAATGCTCTCTCGCTCTATCTTTATACATCTGCACCAATCTCACACATTTTACTCTATTGAATTCGGGCCATGGATATGCAATCTCTTTTTCGAGTCACATTCAGTGTAATCTGTTCTCCTCTTTTTATGATTATAGCTGTGATTATGTTCAGATTTGGAGCTTAAGTTTGTTTCGTCTTTCTTCTACCTCTTTCGACTCCGTTTCTCTGCCATGATGAATGGCTCTTCGGTTGTCTTATTCGTTCGTTGGAGTTGTACGTGTGTAATGTGTGTGTGTATATTGCTGTTGGTTCCATGAATATGAGCGGTAACGAATGAATGAACTTCACACTTGTGGGAAACGGTGCACACTCTCTCACTCATTAGATAAAAGAGAAACAACGATGTAAACACGAATGTGATGAATGCGTCGCCAATGAATCTCTTTTAATTAGAACTATCTCAACCAAATTTAAAATGAGCATTTTGAAATGTATCTTGAGCTATTCGGTTTTTATTAATTTAACGCGTCTCTCAAAAGCATTTTTAATTACATTTCAACATATTCATTTACGTATATAAAGTTTTGATAATAATTTAAGTGCATCGAAACGGCAGCACTCTATGACTGTTTGTGATTGTGTGTGTGTCGAGGTTCAAACGCTTGCGGCATCTTATGCAATTTATGAACGAACCAAGTAGCATCTCGCTTTGTTCAAAAAGCGAGAAGAAAGATTGAATACAAAAGAGAAAAAAAAGCGACACAAAACGTGACTTCTTTTCGTGTGACAAGCGCAATTGTTTCATTCAACTAGCATTCGAGAACAATACATAATTAGCCATGAGAAAATGAGTCAAGTGACCGCAATTATACTACTAAATGCATTATTCTTCCATTAATAGCATAAGAAGCGAGCAACCAAAATTGATTTTACCTCGTAAATGCCGATTTTTCTCGCTCTCGGTAGCCATTACGATGGTTTTATGTGTACGAATCGCGTTCGAAATAATTCACCGGCCGTGTACTAAAACCCATATTTATTTGAAATTCCATTTTTTGTTCTCTCTCTCCCTCTCTGTTTCACCTCTCGAAAATTCACATTTTTCATGTCAAATCTTCTTTTATCATTTCATAAATTTGATGTTATTCATTGTCTGTACAATGCTATTTTTGGTCGGTTCGACACGCACAAAAAAAAATACACACGGCATATTACTTGCGTTTAAGCTATACGAAATGCCCCTTGAAGATTTCTCGGAATAAAATCATCCTTAAAAAAACGTTTGCACAAAATAAACATTTTTTATCTTTTTCGTTCTTTCTCCACTTTTATCATTCTCTCTCCTCCTCACTCTCTTTCCCCCTTTCGCGTCGCATTTTTTTCGGAACTACCACATCAAGTGAGAGATGTAAAAAGAAATAGAATAAAAAAAACACACACACAAGCAGCAGCAATAACAACAACAGCATAAAAAAAATGGCTAATTGTGTTTGCTTTGCCCATTATATGTTAATATTTGTTTGTAATTCGTCTTGCGAAAATTCCATGCGAAGATCAAAGGGAAATGCTCACGGAATTCCATGCAACCTCGTATTCTTGTCTATTTCTCTTCGTTCTATTTCAGTGTTTGGCTTTTCGTACTTGAACAACAAAAAATTGTTGAATTACCGTTCGTTTTCTTTTTTTCATTCGCTTGTACCTAAACACTCAGCACATTATCTGGTGAAAGAGAAAAATATTTGAAGAAGAAATAAAATGTGACGATTGTACATCGAGCAAATTAAAATTTAAAACATCATCAGGTTTCTTTTTTTGGTTGTTGTTGCTTCACACTAATTTGTATTTTTGCACCTTTCCAGTACGTTGGTTCCATGGAAAATTTTCCGCCAAGAATTATCAAAGGTACATCCAATTTCATCTGGTCTAGAAGCGATGGCGTTGAAGACAACCATCGATTTGACATGCAACGACTATATTTCAAATTTTGAATTCGACGTATTCACACGGTAAGTGGAAAGACCCTGCACACAACAAACATCTTATTATTTGTAATCCAAACGTAAATCGTCTTGAACTGTTTGCGCGCTCTCAATCTGCGCTATAAATATGACATTAAATAATTTGTGATTTATTTTGTTTTCGTTCGTTCGCATTTCACTTTGTTTGCAGTCTATTTCAACCGTGGAGCACACTGCTACGGAATTGGCAAATTTTAGCTGTTACACATCCGGGTTATGTTGCGTTTTTAACATATGACGAGGTCAAGGCCAGACTACAAAAGTACATACACAAAGCTGGCAGTTACGTATTCAGGTAAAATTAAAAATGCATTGCTTGCATCAATACAATTACAAGTGCACACCCCAAAAATTAGAACAGCGATGAAAATGCGTTGATTTGGTCCGATAAAGCAGCGATTTTCATTTTTTTTATTCGCTTCAATTGACGCATAAGTGCTGGGTATAATATTTCGACACTTTGTATGATACATCATGCTATGATAGCTAAACAATAATAATGAGAGAAAAAAACAAGACCGCAGAGTGTCGCTTCGCTCCACTCTGCGTTTTTGAGATTTTTGTTACTTATTCTATTTTGTTATTTCACAACAAACTACTTTTTTGCGCACTACATGAAATGTATTCCATCGAAATAACTTTGCATTAATATATCATTAAAGTCGTCCCTTTTAATAACACTATGGATTAAAAGCATAGTACGAAGGATATATATTTGCAACAAAATAGGTACAGAAAAAAGATTTTCTTCGTTATCTCAATAATGAATTACAAGATCTTGGTTTAATTTCTTTTTTGAAAGATACATACTGCCTCTGGGTTAAAATTAATAAATAATATGAGCATAGAATCGAAAGTCACTTTAATTCTGTTCAAGACTAAGATACTATACGAAAAATTAATGTAATTTTTAAACAACATTTGATAATAAAAATTTGATTGGCGCTTTGAGATACTATGCACTTATTTGTCGTTACTGCCACTAGTTTGAATTGAATAAAAAATATGAGCATAAAATTGAAAGCCACTTCAATTCTGTTCATGGCTCAAAAAATTATTAGGAAAAAAAAATCAGATTAGTAGCTCTACATTTCATATAGTGCTAAAAAGCGAAAAACAATTCTATTATATTGATGCCCGCCACTCACTGCCACTTTATCTTTTTCTTGTGTAATTTGCGCTCCATAAACAGATTATCGTGTACACGCTTAGGACAATGGGCGATAGGATATGTTACGGCTGAGGGTGAAATTCTGCAAACAATTCCACAAAATAAGTCACTATGTCAAGCGTTGCTTGATGGCCATAGGTAAAGTATATTCTGTTTCATCACTTTTGAAAATTGATACCGCACATAGCAACATTGCCAATGATCCATCAATTATTACCAATATATATATATATATATATATATATATATATATATATATATGTCGAATTCCGTTTGTAATTCGTTTTTTCTATATCTATTTTTCTTTCTCTGCGTCCGCTCCATTCTCGCTCACTAATTCGATTTGTGCGTTTTGACACATCATCGATTGTACGTGCGCTTCGCTCATTCGAAACATGGTTCATCGATGATGGTTTCGCAATCCGAATGCTGTATACGCAAATGAAACAACGCACAGAGAGGGATTTTATTTATATCCAGATGGGCGACAGGCCAATCCAGATCTATCGTTTGCTGTACAAAGTCCCATGGAGGATCATATAACTGTGACGCAAGAACAATATGAGCTCTATTGCGAAATGGGTAATCATCCTTTTCTCCGATTTACTTACATCTCGTTGCTTAACGATAAACGACGCAATTGCATCTTATTCTAATGCGATGATTCGTCTTCCGTTCTTCTTTCTTCCTTTCGCATTCGTCGCATTCTCGTTTAACAGGTAGCACATTTCAGTTATGCAAAATCTGTGCGGAAAATGACAAAGATATACGAATTGAACCATGTGGCCATTTGCTGTGCACACCATGCTTGACCGCTTGGCAGGTTGACTCTGAAGGACAGGTACCGATCACATTTCTTTAGTGCACTTTAATCAAATATTCCACATATTTCAATGCGAAAATATATGAATGGCATCGTATCATTTTACAGGGTTGCCCGTTCTGTCGAGCTGAAATCAAAGGAACTGAACAAATTATAGTCGATGCATTTGATCCGCGAAAGCAGCATCATAGGAATTCAGCCAATGGCCGACAACAAAACGTTGATGATGACGATACTGAGGTATAGTTAGCCAAAACAAACAAACAAACCATCTTAGAACACACATCATCCCACACAAAATGGCTTTACTGCAACCAATTCCACTCACCATTTAAATCAATCGATTCGAGAATGCAAATAAATATACGTGATATACATTCGCACTCATCAGAAGCCGAACATTTCGTTTCATCACAGAGATTTTCGGCATCTGATTCAATGAACGATTGACTCCACTCTCACGGAACGAACTTTCAAACATGACACTATAGACCAACGAAAACAACGCCTATTGCATAGATATGCATGTATTTGATAGTAATTTTACCATTTTTTTTTTTTAAGAAAATGCCTTGTTCAAATAAATTGGATCACAGCTCATTTCTAATCCAAATAATGTTCATCGCTCATGCCCCCTCCAGAAAAAAAAACATCCATACTAGCTTATCATTCAAAATCTCTCGTATCTTTATACGAAATAATTGGAAACATTAATTCTCACTCATTCAATTACGTCAATGCACTAAAACTTTTCTAAAAACTGCGCCAATTTCATTTATTCATCACGATAATCGCCATGCTCCTTGTAATCCACTCGCTTTTCCACTTATTTAATTTAATCATCACATAATGCATGAATAAATGGAACAAATGATGTAACAATTGAACACACTATGGGGCTAAACCATTTGTGGATGTACATAAATGAATTTTCCATATCTCTTTGCTATTTTCATGTTTATTCCATATTCTTCGGTTTAGTGTTCGGTGTATCATTTAAACTAATTCGATTCGTATAGTTTCACTATTTAAACTGAAAAAGTCTCATCAAAACGCTCACTGTTCGTGTTTATGGGTTTTCCGATTTTATGTTTGTGTGTGTTTTTTCTATCGATTTCTTTTATATATGTACGGTGTACGCGCATTTAACTTCAATTGCTTCCTCTTTTTCTTTACCCAATTCCCAAAGCTAACATTCTCCCAAAGTCATTTCGGTTGAGGATACTCAGTTTTTGTTGCGATTCATTTGCTTCCATGCAAATTGGGTTTTCGTGTTCTTTTTTTTGTTCAAACTAACGAATTAAAATAGTGATGCTTTCAAATTTGCTTTCATCAATGTTCAAAATCGAAATTCGGTGTTGTAACTTGAACGAATTTTAGACAATTGAATGGAGAAAGATGAAGAAGAAGTGAGAGAAGAGCAATGCAGAAAAAAGAACATATTTCTCGAAATATTTGTGATTCCAAATTAATTTAGGAAAATTGTATTCATATAAACAAAATGTAATTCGATTTTTTTTTTGTCAATTTTCGATTGGACGTAATTTTTTAGAAATCGTTTTTAGATCCAATTAGATTTTAGAATGAAAAGTGAATATTTTTTTGTGAACCAAAATTTGCATGCATTTATCCACGCACAAACTACACACACTCGAAAACGATACAAATTGTATTGATATGCATAAACGAAGATAGGCGGAGATTTGTGTGTATCCATTGAATTGATGTGTTAAATGAATCAAGTGCATGAATTTTTTTTTGTCAATTTCACAATGTACACTGTATGGAAGCATCGATGATTCCGGGCATCTACCTGACTTCAGAATGCAATATCCAAAACAATACAATTTGGTCGTATTACACTACTTGCATACATTAGTGCTATCCTTCCCCCGAAGAATCAAGAAACTAAATTCATGCTGTATTTGTGTGTGCTGATATTTGCATATAAACAGAGAGTGTCTTGTCGTTGCTGAAGAAGCCTGAGCTGAGCTGAATTTGCTGACTCAGACGCCTGAAGCGTTATTTACCCGCATTCAAACTGTCAAATTTTCATTGCTAGCAAAGATTTACATTGTTTCTGAAGAACAAGTTTCAGGATTGGACTGTCAGTTTTTTTCATTTGGTGTGCACAACCTTCAAATGACAGGTCAAAGCGTGACGGGGAAAATGAAACATATTTTTTTTGCTAAGGTGGATATTTGCAAGCAATGAAAATTCTATACCGCGAATGCGTTTAAATAACGCTTCAGGCGTCTGAGTCAGTGAATTGAACTCATTTCAGGCTTGTTCAGCAGTTATATAATACTCTCTGTGATAAAACTTAGTCGTGTTTTTTCCCTTTGATAAGAACATTTGTTTTAATGCTTATTATTTGTCTTAGAATTTTTAAGTGTTTCCCCCCCCCCCCCCCCTTAAGTTTATATACTTAAACACTAAAAAAAATCATATAGGTGATATTTATTATTTTGTAGCATATTATTCATTTGCTTTAAGTTATGTGGAATGAAATAATTCACAAAAATAGGCCTAAATCGATAAAATTACAGAATATGAATAATGAACTTATATATATATATACACACATATTTCTTTTTCTGCGTTTAATTTTAACGATATGTAAAGAGAGCGATTGGAGCATGAAATGGAATTTTATTTTTTGTCGTTTTTTTTTCGTGTAATTATTGCTTTGAAAAAAAAAAAGATTTTTGATGTACAATATTTTTTTTTTTACAAAACGAATAGGAAAAAGGCCATCAAAATTTCAAATACGACTTATGCAATCGGAAAATGTTTTTTTCCACTTGGATGAGCATCGAAAATGAAAGTGAACAATTTAATTTGCCTAAGAACCAATATGCACAAAATAATAAAAACCAATTTTTAAAGAAACGTAATAAATCAATCATACACTCAATTTTACCAACTATCGATGTTACCGTGTTGCTTTTTTTCTTCTTTTCATTTTTTTATACCACTGTTTGCATGAGATATTTTGTTAATATTTTTTTTTTTTGCGAAATTTTTGGCAATTCGTATATTTCTGTTTCGTATATATAGTTTCATCGCTGGCTCAGACTCACTTTTTGCGCTCTTTCTCATTTGTGTGTGTGTTTTTTTCTTCTTTTTTTGATATTTTGTTTTAGCTTGAACTATTTTTTTTCCATTATCTTTGTGTGTGTTGGTGCCTCCATTTTTTACGTGTTTTTTTTCTCTGTAAATTTAAAATCACACTTTCGCTGAGCATTTTGCCGTTTTCCAGTGTTGGCTTTTCATCATACTTAGCCTTTCCTATTTTGTAAATGCCACTTCATTCATCAATCTATTTAAAAAAAAAATTCGAATCTTCCCCTTACATCTGTATCGTTCGTTAAGATTACGCATTCAATTATATTACGAAGATGAAGCAATTTCATTTAAAATTCTCAACTAATTGGGTTTTCAGGATGCGAGCGATTTTAATGTGGCCACATCATCGTTACATGCGTTAAGCAACAGTATGGCATTAACACGTAGTGATAAACAGAGTCCGCACTCTTCACCGCGGATGACTAGGCGTAGTGCCACGCCGAATATACAAACGCAAGGCACACTGAGTCAGCCAACAAGTAACGATATCTATGCTAGTCAATTGCAACAACAGCAACAGCAGCAAACTCAATCAAACGTCAAGCATACGGTACAGTATACATGATCTCAATTTTTTGCTTCAAATTTTTGTTTAAATGCACAAATGAACCACCTAAATTTGTTGCTACGAAATGCACACATTCCAATCGGTTTTATTCCTTCAACAGCAATCGATAAGCCAGAATCAGGTGACGCAATCGGCACAATCACAACCGCAATCGCAACAGCAAATGCCTCAAATGTTGAATAAGCCCATAAGCAATGTGCAAGCCCTAGCAATAAATGATGTTACAAGTTCAAACCAAAGTCTGACGGCGCCGCCATTGCCGCCACGCAAATCATCACCGAATGTGGCCGATAATTCGGTCGTTAACCGTATGCTGAAGCCTCAAACATGTGTAACTGGAGCATCTAGTCTCGTGAATTTATCGAACAATACAAATCTATCGGCATTGCTATCGAAGAGCTCCGAAAATGTAACGACATGTGAATTTGAGGTTCCAAAAACGAATGCACCACCCGTACCCAAGCACAATGTGGTGGCAAAAGCAACGGATGACATCGACGACAGTTTGAAGCACATCAGTTTATCAAGCGTGGAAGATGCATGCGATAAAGTAATTGTTGGACCAGCCGAAACAATCAGTGGAATCATTGATACGCGTCCGCTTGAGACGCGCAAACCGATCGTCGGTACCGGTACGAATTTAAGTGGTAGCAGCAGTAGAAGTGACATCGATAGTAAGGAACAGAAACTAGTCGCATCGAATTGTGCAAATAATCTGTACCACTTAAAATTGAGCATGCAACAAAACCAAATTCGACATCAATCATATCCCAATCACATGCAATCGCAGCAGAGTGCATCGAAGCAACAGCAACCATCAAAATCACAAACGACACCGCATTTGGGATTGGAATATGTGAAATTGTGCACAACATCATCATCATCGTCATCGACGACATCGCTGGCGCCAGGTCAACAACAAAATCGCGCTCATTCAGCCAACAACTCGAATGGCACGAGAAATGTAGGTTATCCACCCAAATTCCAAATGAAAATGAAATGTTTCACCCTCTATTGATCTATTGATCGATCAATCGATTGACCAGGCATTCTAATGACTATTCTATATTTCCATTTTTGTTATGCAGACATCCGATGTTGGTTTGCCATTGCTTTACGAAAACATAGCGAATGTGCCATATGAAAATATCAATTTAGATTACATAACAAGACTGATGAATGAGGGCTATTCGAAGGAGAATGTCATCACAGCATTGGGAATTTCGCGAAATAACATCGAAATGGCCTGTGATATACTGCATGAGTTTGTATCGAAAAGCGGCGCTTAAGTGAAGCATCATGCATACCAACACACGACCATTTCCCCCAAAAAAACTCAGACAAAATAAGAAACAAACAAACATATGCAAGTGAAATATAAATCAAATAAGTACAGCGGGGTCCATTTCATTGGTTTGAATTTTCTAGTAAACAAATATTGTCAAAAATGAGATGCTAATTTATCAGAACATGTGAGTGATGTCACTCTCGAAATAGGTACAGGTCTCTTATGTATAAATACAGCGCAATGCACAACCCATACATTTGTAAATGATAAACAGACATTATGATCGTTCATGCGCTTCAAAATATTATTAAATTTTTTTTGTTCTATTTTGCCTTCACACATTTAACATCCTAATAAGAAATGTTACATTTCATTTCATTCTTGTTTCTGGGTTTGCTTTCGGTTTCATTTATTCATTTGTTCATCAAATTTATGAGGATTTAGAATGAAAACATGAAAGAAAGTTTAGTATCTTTTTGTCATCTTCATCCGAATAACTTCACTAAATATAGTTATGTAATGTATAAAACAAATGTATTCTAACATATTTCAACGTAAGTTTATGTCCGATAAATGCAATGCCACACAGAAGAAAACAAACAACACATGCAAACACAAAAGTAACACAAATCAACATTTTCAGCATAATTTTCCAGTCATTTTTCTACCTACATATTCGAGATTTACAGCTTAAAAAACCAATATGCATATTACATTATTTCTCTATCGTCTATGGGGTTAAGGAAACTACAATTAATTTCGTGGAAAATCAACTTAACCAAAATGCATCCTGAGCCATTGATGAAACCATACCATACGAACTGCACAATGCCAAATTATTGAGGAAATCATATTTAAGAAAAAGTGGATTTGTGATGACCGACACCAATTTCGACTTTTATTTTGCTTCAAATCGTTTACCTGCACTTCCGTTACTGCACTTTGTTACTCTTTCCAATAGATCCATTAAATTGAGTTTTTTTTTATTTGGAAATTCCCTGTTCCGATCATCACTCATTCGAAGATCAAAGACGTAAGTAGTAGATTCATTTCTAATTTACAATGGTTTTTTTTATCAATTATTTGCATCGAAAACCTTCTTGATGTTTAATAAATGTTTTTCTACTTCTCTCTTTATTTGCAGATAGAAAACTGTGGACCCATTTCACTGGTGCAATTTTTTTGGCAGACGGACAACAGAACCGACAGTTTTCAGTTGCTGATCTATAATCGGTTCTGATTGATATACATCAAAATGTACCATTTTAATGGTTACTCGAGCATTGTTATTTATGGATCCATCAATATATTGTGCAGTGAGCAGTTTGTGAATGGTGTGCAGTGTGCACGATAATTTTTGGATACAAGAAAAACGAAATGATCCCAGATTGAAAACCCAAATCGGAATCAAATTTATTTGATACAGATCAAAGAAATTATGATATTCGAAATTTTAGAAATTAACTCTTAAACACCAAATTGAACAAATCACTGTCATTCGTTTTTGGATTGGGCGAAAAAAATTATAATAAAAATTTACTTTTCGTTTCATTTATTGAAAATTTACAATATTTTCGCACAAACAGCATTATTGTTTGATCAGAAACAAAATTATACTTTTAAAAGAGCAAAAAAAAAAAAACAATTGTAAATTTTCCTGGGTGAAAAAAAAGAATTGGAAACCAAATTAGTATATAAAATCATCAACCCTTCCCCATCCATTTGAAGCTGGTTGTCGGGCCGAAAACACAATCGAATTTCAACGAAAGGTGTTCATTAGATTTTTATGGTATACACATTGAATTATTTGATCGCACATTTGGGGATTAGATAAAAACAAACAAAAAAACCCTTTTCCATTAAGCAACACATGTGTGTCGAGAACAAAACGAAACAAAAAAAAACAAGTCTAAATTCAGTGTGTATTGATATGTATGTGTTTAAATTTACGTTTTAAAAAACAAGTAAGAAGAATGAAAAAAAAAGCTTTTGTCTTCAAAGTGAATTGAAAACAATGTGCACAGTGATAATTCTTTCAGATTGGTTTTTTGTCTTTCAAAAAGATTTCGGAGAACTTAAAAGCATAAAAAAAAATTGTAAGAGTTTATTTTTTTAATACCAGAAAAGAAAAACAAACAAAAAAAAACGAAAAAAAACTATTGGATTTTGACTAGATTTAGGTGCACATAGAGAAACAAACCAAATGAACGTATATGTTCCATAATTCAAATGACATTATGTTTCCCCCAGACAGAGAAAAAGTTGGACAAAAAAAGAAGAAAAAATGCCTATTTACAATTGACCTTATTTACCCAATTGAAATATGCAGATTAGACAGAGAAACGTTCAATAAACACCCCCCTCCCCCCCGAAAATATATAATTTTCTATTATAATCATTAGATCGAATTTCATGACTATCTATAATAGAAGCGTATTCTATTTCCTATCGCAATATTTTCATTTTCAGTATCAGTTTTTATCGAATGAATTCAGAGAGAAAAACAAACAGAAAAGAAACATTGAAACAGTAACCAATCCCACACTCTACAATCTAGCATATTTATTTATAACACGTATTAAAATACATACACAATTTTTAATATTATTCTAAAATTAGATTAAATCAAGAAAATCAATAAATGCAATAAAATGAATATGAAATGAAACGCTGTCTTTTTGGAGAGAAAAAAACAGAATGAAATTAGATTAAAAATGTGCACATTTTCAGCATGATTAAAAGCGCAAGAAGTGATTGAGTGTGTGCTGGTGCTCGGCTGCGACTAAAGTCATAGAACATTACATCAATATAAATAGGGGCCTTTAGCACGTCTTCATCTAGTTTAAATTTCAAATTGACTCGATTGCCGAATTGAATTTGTCCCGCTTTGATTAGCGCTTGATTGGACACTTTGCCAACCATCATTGATCCGTAGAAAAATTCATAACGTACACCAAGTATCATATTTGTACAGGTAAACTCCATTGCACCGTTTGCAACACTGGCCGCCACAATGTCATCAAAACTAGGTGGCCGTATTGTTCTGAATTCAAACCAATACTGCGTATTATTCCGAGGATTACCCATCTCTGATACACGGTTAGTAAAGCGATTGTATATCGTCGAATTGACATCTTCCAATTCAAAGCGGTGCAAAAAATGATTGAAAATCTTTCGTTGAAAAGCCCGACAGATGTGCGTATTATTTTGTTCGAGGCTCAATGGCTGTTCGCTGCTGTCGGTTTCATTGAATTCGGTCAGCGTCAGTATAACATTGCATTTGATCCGTGAATTTTCACCAAAATTAATCGACTGAAATGTAACATTGTTAATCACACAATCGCCATTCGATTCGATTACCGGCACTTTTAGGTAATGATCATCATTGGTGCAATTCGTTTCGTTGTGAAAATAGGCTAACAATCGGCCGACTCGCTTCGTATTAACATCAACGCTTTCATTTAGCCGAATAAGTTTACTAACAATTATCGGCTTATGTGGTAAGTATCCAATGTTTCCGCTGACTTGATGCACATCCCGTGTTGCAAACGTTTCATTCAATTCCAAATACTCCAAGCTAATTTTTTGAACTACATGCGCTGTCGGGTTGTCGACATTGAACTCATGATACACAAAGAATACCGTCACATTTAGAATATTTGTGAAATTATGATGAATTTGAATGGATAATTCATCACATATGAAATTTTCATCAAACTCAGGCATCGATGACGTTGAATTGGTATCCTGTTTACACGTACGCATGGATATTGTGTCAACGCAGTGGTAAATTTGTGCATCAGTGCAATTTTCCGTTTGATTTACCGTTTGAGCGGACATACAAAAGTCCTTCATTATAATTGCTGGTGTGTCAAGTAGCCGACGATACTTTAAAAATTTCACACTTTTCAATTTGTTCTGAATGTCGGAGATGAATCGATCATGCTCTTCAACGGTTTGGACACAGTTCGTTTCGTCGTCGAGCAAGTGTTTAACGGCATTTTTGATGCGACAGTTGGATGCGGTGAATGACCATGGAATATCTGTGTGATTTGATTAAATGTTTATTAATTGAATTCGATCAAAGTAAATTGAGTTCGAATGAAAAAAAAAACCTAAAAATTGTATTTCCTCCGCAGACTCATCCCACACAAGTAATGGGTCGCCATAAATATAATGTTCACGGTAGTCATTTTTAGCAAACGCTTGGTGATCGTATTGATTCGGCCATTTGTACTGGACAACGCTCAAGATATTCACATCATGCACCTGCAAATAAATAACTTGTTATAACATAAATCATTTTCCACTTTTCTCCATTTAGATTCTACCATAAAATCTCTCTTCCGTGTCTGCTTTCGCCTTCTTGTATTGTCAACAATACAAAATAATGAGAATTGTCGGGTTTGCGAGCAAAGTTGCAGTTCTGACGATTCTTCATAATCGTAAATAGACCAGTCGCGTTCGTTACATTTCAATGTTTGTATTATTTCACCAGACAAACAGTCGACATCGCAACAGCAGTTTATGTCACAAAAATTAATCTTTATGAAACGAAATTGAAGAAAAGAAGATATTTTTTTCATTTTAGTATATTTGATGTGAACAGATAATGGATTTGTGATCGAATATTACTAAATTGAGGGTAATTACTTTCAAATCGCATGGGCAGTAATAGTCGGCCGGAATGAGTCGACGTCGCATTTGTCGCCGTGTGAATTCAGATAAATAAGGATTCAAATCTTTGGCGGAAATTGTGGTTACGTTATTGTTATATACGGCCGATGTATTTGTATTATTGGTGTTATTGGCCTGAGCTGGTCTCAATGTTCCTGTGACATTCAGCGAAGCTGCAGTTGTTACCTCAACGGTGGAATTTATTGTATTTGAAGACGAGTTGGCTAATTTCTGTATATTCGATTCATTTATGGGGTTAATTGTTGTCTCTGTCACTGTAGACTGCACAGTTGTTGTGGCCTCAGTTGTTTCGATTTCATTGACTTCCATGTTTGGCATGTTCGGAGATGGTGTTGATGTGGTGACCGGATTTCTAACAGGTGATATTTCTATTTTTACACCTGCCTCTATCACCCCAACCATGCCACAAACAATTATCAACTGCCACAGTATTTGATGCATTTTGTAGATTTATTTCAATTCAACGCCGAATGTTGAAAAGTTTTTCGCAATAATCATTAATTCGACAATTACCTTCCCAGCCGATATGGTTGATAGTTTATATCTGTTTAAAAAACGAACATTTGATAATAGTCAACGGAAAATAAATAAACAAGAAATTCGTAATAGATAACCTCTCGACACCACTGTAAACTAAATCGCTTTTGCTGACCGTTAAACCTCCGGTATGGAATCGTGTTTTGAGTGAGTCAAAATAATTATTTGCCGCAACTTTCCACGTTGAAATGTCAATGGTATGAAGTCCCGGAGCGGATGGAACATAAGCAAATCCAAAACTGAATATACGTTGTAAATGATACAATTAGAAAATGCAGCGTGTCGTGTGTGTTTTAGGTAAATTGAAATTGAAATTATGTACCCAACTGGCCAGCACTGATTCAGGGCGTTGACCGCATAAATTTCAATGTGAATTTTAGGCCAGCCTTGAACACCTCGGCAAGCTAAATGAACGTCAATTGGATGTGAAAATGCACAATACGTATTTCCGAATTTATTTGAACAAGTAGCTGTCTGTCCTTCTGTGTATCCCTCTACATGCTTCCAATTAGAACCTTTACCACGAAATAAATGAATAAACGAACAAAAATCATAAACCAAAAAGCCGAATATTAATCTCTTTGATGCGCTTTTCCTCACCAAATTGGATGCTCCATTTGCAAAAAAGTGTCGGTTCTTCAAAATCACATGCACTCAATATTTGCCCAATCAAATGTAACTCTGCCATGCGAATTATATGGCAGTAGCTCCTTCACTCTAAGTATAAAAAAAACCCGATCGGATCCAGATTTTTTGTTGTTGTTCTGTATGACACTATGCCGATTCCTTATTTTTAGATAAAATCAAATAAAAGAAAACCCAATCGAATCTTTGTCCATTTGTAAAATGTACGCCGAAAATTTACGAACACTTAGTCACACACTGAAACAAACAATGTGAGCGATGAATTGGGAAATTTGTTTGTATATTAAGCATTGTGTACTGGTTGCCATGGTGATCATTCACGGCAATTTGGTGTTTATTCCAAGCATGATCCATAGATAAATTAAACACATATCCAATTTTCATTTGATTTTTTTTTATTTTACATTAATTGAATTTGCAATGTATTTTTGTAGTTTATTGTCTACTAAATTTACTGTTCATAGTACTATGTTTTTTCTGTTTTTTTTTCTTATTATTATTATTATTCCAATTTTACTTCATTTTCTTCCTTTTTGGTCTGTGTGTGTGTGTGTGATAAATTTTATATTTCCAAAACATGCCAACCAAAAACAACTGAATGGAAACACTTCAATTGGACAAACAATAAAGATATATGTAAATTGCATGGATATTTACTGATTATAACATTTGTTTTTGTCTCTTTTTTATGATTATTTTCTTTTTTTCTTCTCTATTTTTGGTGCAATTGCCTTGAATTGCAGTAATAATAACTTTTTATAAATGCTTTTCATGTAAATTAAATTTTCAACCACGATTCATCGCTAAATTAATTTCTTTCATTTTATTATCATTTTATTTTCTTCAAATTTTTATTTCTTTTGCACTTTGAGCGAAATTACAAAAATACATTATAACTAAAACAGAGAGAGAGAGAAAGAAAAAGAAAACGAAACAAAACATGTTCAAAAAATAATAATAATATACGGAGCCAAATTGAACTGAATGAGAAAAGGGGAAAAATATATAAGAATTTGCCTAGACGTTTGTGATTATGCTTGAATTCATATATGTTATTTGTTTCTTAATTCATAGTTGATGGTCTGTTGTTGTTGTTGTTGTGGTATTGGTCGATGTTGGATCGTCGTATTAATGACCAGTGGTCATTGACCACATTAAAATATTGTTTTTTTTTCAAATTTCTGTTATTTTCACGTTTTTCCATCTAAAATGTATCTCGGGAGTAAAATGGTTGAATATCAGTATGGGGGTGAGGGGAGTTAATTCATCGAACACTCGCTAGTCAATCAATTTAGTGGACATTTTTGTGTTACTCTTTTTGATTATTGTCAAATGCAAACATTTTATCGATTTTCTTTCTTTGCTGCATGTTTTCTTTATCGTTCTGAGTATGTATGTGTATGTGTATGTGTTTGTTTTTTTTCTATTTAAATCGAATGTTTTAGTTTCAGATCAGTCAACATTTGAAACGAACACGCATTTTCCCACGGATAATCATTGTTAAAATTGTGAAATATGTTGATTACATGTAAAAATATTCGATATGACATTGTGTCGGCCGAAATGACGACAATTGTTTTCTTCTGTTTTGTTTTCTTCTGTTTTGTTTTCTTCTTCTATTTGGCCAAAAAAAAAAAGTTGTATGTGTGTGTGGCCAACGACTGTGCACAGGCGCACAGTGGCACTCGTGTGCTCATTTGCTCGAAAATTGGGAGTCTTAAACTAAGTCTGTGCAGTTTGCAAAATAGATTAGCTGGATTGTCGGAACTACCGTTGTTGCCCGATGAAATATCCATCGACCATGGGCACATCGTCATCGTCTTCGTAGTCGGTTAGGTTGTCAGCACCGCGTTTGCCATTCGCATGATTCGTCCCATCACCATCGCCATTTGTCATTGAGAGATTTTTTGTGTTTGACGGTTTTAAGCAGGTGGGACCGGAGGAGGCGTTCGGGAATCGGTTCAAGTAACGATCCAGACGCAAGAATTTTATGGACACAAGACGACTGTCAAACCACCAACCGTTCACTTCGTCGTGAATGATGCCGGCATCCTTGGCCGAAGCGCATCGAACGTATACACAACAGGTTTGTTTGTCCAATTGTAAATCGTATATCTTGCACGTTGTGTGTGCTACCTTTTCCAAAATGGCATCTTGTATGACTTGCTTGAGATTTGGATTCGACGATTCATGTTTGTCGAACATTTGACGAATCTTCAAACATTCCGTCGGTGGATCTTTAATCTTGTTGCTCTTGTCGAAGGCTGGACTCTGCCATTTCTTCACATTGCCATAGTTGAAGGTGCTGCATGACCGGAGACTTGGATACGTCGCACTAGGCATGTTATTTGATGTGGTGACGCTTAAATTACTTGAATTGCTGCTCGTACTGGCGGACAATGAGTTGGAGGTGAAAGCGTGCGAACTTTGGCTCATTGGTGACACGGTGTCAATCCATCGCATCACACGATAATCTTCGCCATTTCGAGTTGCAATACTAAACTGAACGCGACTGTCGCTCTCGATCGCCTTGATTGCAGCATTCCAAACCGATTCCATTTTGCTTCGTTCGGTGGGCGGTATCAATTTGTCACGCAAATGGTTGATCACCACGGATGCCGCATCGGTGCATGCGGTGTCGGGATCGTACGCCTTTTCCATCAGTACATTTTTTATCTCTTCCACCATATTTGTGACGCGCTCGCGTCGCGTTTGCAAATGCCCTCGGATAAATCGAATGACAAACAGAACGGCAAACACGAACAGAGCTAAGACAACAATCCATCCGATGATGGCGAACACCGCTTGCAGCTTGTTGTAGAGGAAACATGACAGGGGCAGTCGTGGTTTAACGATGGCAAAGTAGTTGGATTGGGACGGCCGGAGTCGAACGAGATTTGTCATTGATATGCTTGCCGATGGTTGGCCACTTCCATCGATGAAGTGCCCGACACGCCACTGTGGATTCACCGATATCAAGTATTCGGCGTTGTGAAGTGCTCGAATAATGTCGATCGCCGCACTTTGTTCGTGCGTTTCGAATAGGAATTTTACAACCTCTTTTGCACTCATCGCAAATGCGGCCGTTGGATCGGTGCATCGATTCAATTCGATTCGCTTCTGAAGCTGCGGTAGCAGCAGTTTGAGTAGATCAAATGCGGGCTCAAGCTCATCTTTCTCAATGCAATTGACAGTTGGCTTAAAATGCGGCTCACCATTCACCATTGTCACTTCGGTGTCGGGGCACAATTTGAACGTAGCCGCCTTTGCATCCAGTGCCAATGATAAATCCGGATTCATCGTCAAATACGCAATGATAACGGAGGTGAAGAAAACGAACAGGGCTGATAACAAGATGCATGGCACAAATGACTGTTTGACGCTGTATCGTTCATACTGTCGATTGAAAAATTCCGAAAAGAAATTCCGAATGGAAAACGGCTTTCGATTGCTGTTATCGATATTGGCCTGATAAATGATGCTATTATCTCTTGACAACATCGATAGCCGAGACGATGCTGGTTCATTCAAATACCGCGATACTCTTGCCGATGGATAGCTCAGCAGCGGCGGTCTTGTGTATCCATCGAAACGGTTACCTGAAGGAGATGACGAAAATGAAAAAAAAAATGAAAAGCAATTAGCTATGTTTATTCACTTCATTGTTCAAGCTGGATGACTTACTGGCATCTAACAGCGATGGAGCATTTATAGTTGAGCCCAAGCTTCGATTCCGTAAGCTGAGCAAACGTTTTGTGAAATTTGTCGATGAGTATGGCGAAGATAAGTCATCGTTATCATGTTCACCATTTGTGCTGGATTCACTGGATGCATTCAATGCATTGGTGCTGTGCGAACTACTCTCAGCCGCATCAGTCGAGTATCGACTTTTGCCGATGGCCGAGTTTTCGTGTGCGTCATGGCCATTGTAAATTGTCGACGTTGTTCTACGGCAAAGAAAATGTACAATTAGGTTTTCATTCGAAAGAAAATGATAAATACCACGGCAAAAGAGTACAAACCGAATGCTGGAGGAATTGTTTTTGTATCGATTTGAAAATGATGTGTTCAATCCGTCATTTTGGTCTGATTCTTCGTCTGTATCGTGTTGTATCAGCGGCGATATGTAAATTGAGCTTGTCGGCGATTTTTTCGTACTCTATAAACAAACGATAGGGGTTAGTTTCAGCTGGGCATGCAAAAAGCTAATTGTAAATTTTTACCTGACTTTTGTCACTCCACAAGCTTGTTGATGGCTTTTGAATTGCCGGTGGCGGCGGCATACTCAAGTTTGATCGATTCCCTAGCCGGCTGGTGCTTGTTGAAATGGTTGAACGACTGCGACCTTTTGCTACCTTTGCCTTTGTATCATTGGCTCTCGACGAAATGTCTTCATCCGATGAGTATCTGGTTGCATATTCTGTATCGCGTCTCAACTTTGACTTTTCGCTGTCGATCAAATTTCGCAGTCGTTTGATTAGAATTTTGCGCGTTGTACTTGTGACCGGTATGTTGGGCACTCCAAATTGTGCCAAGCGATACTGAAGCTCCACATTGCTCAGCTCATTCAAATCTTCCATGACTGAATCGCTGTGTTGCTGCTTGCGGTTTTAACTTTATCTGTTTACTGAATTTCCACGTATTAACTTAAGAGTAATCGTTTTCTTCTTTCACATTTGGTTTTTTTTCCTGCAAATTAAATAGAAAATAACGAAGAATCTTGTAAATGTTTATGATATCCAAAATGACTACGATTGTATACTGTTTGATTGTACCAAAAGTCACCCGAAAAATCACGGCGAAACGTACAAACAATTTTCTCTTAACACCGAACATAAACAAAGTAGCCGAGTGCGGTGGTGGCACACGAAGAAGTGGAAAAATGTTGCACTAGTGTCGAGACAAACTTTGGAATGACCTTTAAATTAGACGACTTGCGCAATATAATTGTGGTTTGATGCACAAAATTTGGCCCGATTTTTCTTCGGTTCTGTTATTATTGTTGTTGTTGTTGTTCTTGTTTGCGATTGATTGTCACGAGTACGGATCCAAATCCACATTCGACGAGAGAATAGTACGAGATGTAAACAGAACTGAATACCCGCTTCAATTGTGCTATTAAGAGATTTGGCCAAATATCAGTGTGCGTACAACAAAAGGCAAACAAAAAATGTAAGTAAATAATCTAACCTCACTTTGTCTGTCAATGTCGGCGCTTTTCTATATGCCATAGAGCATTTGAAATTGAAAAAAAAACAACAACAAATAATCAAGAGCAAGCGACACGGAGGAAAAATCGAAGGCATACATTTGAATAAAAGTCAACAAAAACGGACTTAACACAGGCCGCGTGTGCTGTTTGTTGAAACAGTTTTGCGCTGATCCGAGTTTTCGATCATTCTGTTTTGTTCGCAAGAGGGAGAGAGAGAGAGAGATAGAGAGAGCGAGAGAGAGAGAGAGCGAGAGAGAGAGAGAGAGAGAGGCAGAGAGAAGGTGAACGAGGAAGCAAGAGAAAGAGCGAATCGGCGAGAGAAAAGGCACAGCCAATGGCCAAGCGAAAAATTGTATATCGGCTGCTGTTGTTATTGAGCATTGAATTTTCTATTTAAATCTTGTTTTCTACCATTTTTTCTATTCGGTTATTCGGGCATAAAATTTTCTTCAATTTGAATATGTATGATGAGAGGTGTGTTTTTTTCTCGTATTTTTCGCTATTTTTAGTTCTGCGTCACTTGCACAATCACTGTACAGTAAATACAACCGCTTTGCACATATATAAACATTTTTGCCGCTTTTGCTGTAGCGCCAAGGAGATTATTTTTCTCCGGTCATTTACGTATCTGCATACACATATGCACGCACGCACACACACATCAACACTTAGGCGGCTACGCACACACACACACACATGTATATATACACGAGAAATCACAGACTATGCCTGTCTTCCAGCCTCTCTCACTCTCTATCTATGCCCAATGTTATTCCGAAGTGCACACCAATACAATGGAACGCCAGCCGAATGCCGAAAGTCGCCGTACAAATTTTTTCAATTGAACATATTCATACACACTTTTTTCCCCTAAGAACGCATTATTTTACTACAAATCTAAAATCAGCTTGAATTTCGTCGCCGTTTCGGAACTAATTAATATTTATCTGCGGTCAATGTTAATCTTGCATCGAAATTCTCTGCATCGTGCAATTTATTCACACTAAAAATTGACACCAGACGATGATTGTACGCAACGAGATGCAATTGCTATACGTACTTGCACAATGTGCACATTTACATTTAGAGAGAAAAAAAACGTCGCCAATCAAATTGTAGAAAATTACACGATAATTATATGTTTCGCATTGACTTTGTCGGAAACTTGGTTTGTCAAAAATCGGAATCAAACTTACTTTGTTGATTTTGTTTCAACTCTTTGATAAATTTAATTCGGATGCAAAAACAAAATGATCGAACGAGAGAATACTGTCAAACAAAACAACAAGCAACAAAACACGATACAAAAAAAAACTCTCTGCTCTTTGACGCGGCGCGTTTCAGCCGCTTCAACTTTGTCAAATGTCCCGAGAGGGCGCCTGTCGTACTACCTTTCGTATAAGTATCTAATTAAAGTACATCAAAGTAAGCAAACCAAGGTAAAAGCCTTTTTTTACGTTGCTCAACATTTCATTAGTTGAATAAATGTGAATATATGCTCATTTTTCACTGGCCACCGGGACATTTACGATTTATGTGACATTTACGATGTGAATGAAAATATTTTCATGTTAAACACAATTCAAAAATACAACAACAACACTAATAGGCGCATGTGTTATGGAATATGATAGTTGTGCATACGGAGATTCAATGTATTTTCGCTTCTAAATTTCAAAAACTACGAGCATATACTACATACTACTCGTAAATCTTCTGAAATTGTTTGAACGATGAATGAAAATGTTTGTATTTAAAGCTAAGAACGTAGAGTATGTGCAGTTACAATTCCAAATTGAATTCATTTCCCCCCAAATAGCATCGTATTGATAAAACAAATCCATGACTTCCTTGGCAAAATCTTCAAACATTTCAAAACAACCAATATAAAACATGGGTTTACTTCAGTTATGAAACGTAGTTCATTTTTATTTTGGGCTCTTTGCTTTACTAAACAGAAGATGTTCTGTAAATCATATTGGCTAAATTAATTGAAATTTTATTTAAACGTAAAACTGTACAAATGGAACGATTGAAGTGTTTGAATATATTTTTCGAGCAAACTAATTCAAATTGGCTAAATTCAACGGCTGAAATAATATTGAAATTTTGTAATTCACATTTTATCTTTGGATCTACTGCAATAATTATAAATTGAATATAAATGCACATATTAAGTGTAAAAGAAAAAAAAAGAAATTCCACATTTGCATATGATGGCTCTTTTTCTCATTCAGAAGCTAGGTAATTATTGCTATTTGTTGGGTTTCTTTTTGTGATTGAAAAATGCATGTTGTTTGATATCCTATGAAATGTCATCTTTTCTAAATTTTTGTCAACCTGTCATTGATTCATTACTTATGAATGTGCGAAGCTATTTGTGAAATGAAAAGCAGCGGAATATTAGTAAATGTATCACTGTTTCCTATTTAGAAGAAGAAACACGTTGTTCATGCTGGTATTTAAAATGGACTACGATATCAATCACATCTCTCTTTTTACTAGAACCTGTCGAACTCACTCTAATGCCTAACAATTTAAATAAATTAAAGTTCATCTTTGTCTTTTCCATCTTGATCGCTAAATTCCTCGGATGTTGTGTCACTCGATTGATCTTCAGCCGTTGAACTCTCAATATTCGTCACATTTACATCTGCAATTGACAACGTGAATTTCGATTTTAAAAACAAATCCATTGAAGATGAAAAGAAAATGAGTCGTCGCAATTGAGTTTGGGTGTATGATGAAATGTTCGTGTCGGATTATTTTCAAACGGAAATACATATGTAAAATGTGTGTAATTTTTCAAAGGATTTCGCTGTTGTTTGTTGCTATTGGAAGATTGATGGTTTTTAGGATAAATTTTGTTGTGAGAAAAAATTCTCAAGCGATTGTGGACCATTCGCTTGTGTTGGATGCGAATTAAGCCAATATTCAGATACGGAAATGTACAAAGCGACGGCCACGCCAATTATTGACGCAATCCATGTAGAACTTTTAAATGTGAGACATGTTGCAATGCATAATCCGATATAGGTCACGTAACGCGTGAACGTTTCCCATCGAAGCCGTCGCTCGCTGGTCAAGTCTGAATGAAGAAGAAAAAATTTGAGAAATAGAGAGAAAGAGAGAGAGAGAGAGAGAGAGAGAGAGAGAAGGAGAGTGTTGAACAACTGCATGAAACTGGGCATCAAATAAAACCAAATTGTATGTACAATGGCTACATAAAATCAACAAAAGCAACTACATTCGAAAATAAATAAGATAAAAACGACATTTTCAGTGTAAAGAATTTTGAGTACTGTTCAAATGTCAACTTTGTGGAAGAAATTTTGAGAAACATAAATAATCACAACAAACAATAATTAAAACCAACTAAACGGGGAAAATGATAAAAAAGCAAATGGAAATTGATAAAGTCTCGTACTTGGAATTGAATTAAATTGATTTGGAAATTTACCTGTACACATTCCGTTTCGAAGTTCATAGCCTTCTGCGCACTTGTCACACAAATCAGGTCCATCACCAGTGCATCCTTCACATGCTCGGTCACATTCTGCAAAAAATTGGAGAAAAATGATTCATTGAAAACTTCCGCAGCTTCGAAATTAAATGGATTTATCTAGAAAAGTGATTCATTACTGAGACATTCGAAGGAGCCATCGTTGTTGACACAGAATTCGTTGATGGTGCATTTGTGTGTGCCGATAGCGCATTCATCGACATCAACACAACCCTGTTCTGATTCCATGGTCCATCCTTTTTTGCAAACGCGACACCCTTTGGCACCAGCTCCTGTGCATCCGGTGTTCTTTTCGCATGCAATATGGCATTTGCTACACAACAGTTTTGTTTCATCTCGAAACGATTCAAAATAGTCTAACGCACAATTAGAACAGAATTCACCGGTATACCCAGCATGACACGAGCACTTGCCGCTGCCCTTGCGTGTGCCATTGCCTTTACACGCTCCGTTGCCATTACAATCGCTGCATGGTGAACAATTTTCACCGTACGTATTCGATGGGCAACACACTTTCTTAAAATCTATACATAAATATCCATGGAGATCGGGATTTTCATCTTGTTTCTTTGTGAACCATAACGATAGCTCATCTTCAATGTCTTCGAAAAAGCTGTAGCATTGATCTTGTGATTTTGATACATCGCCACACACATGATCGGCAGTCTCTGTAAAACGCACTTCACTTTTTGCATACACATTCAAATTTTGCTCCTCCCAAGCCGTATCACCGCTTTCGTGCTTTCCTCGTGACGTTTTCTCCATGGCCTGAATTAGAATAATACAACAGGAATTCGAATATTGAATACGCAACGCAGAAAGAATCAAATTAAAGCGAATCGAGTACCTTTTGGAATGAATCGACAAATGTTCGGCACAGTTTGCATGGTGGAAGTGTAATTGATGACTGTCGCTGCGCTACTTTAAGTGGATCCAATTGAGCTTTGATTAGCAGTGGCAATGTGCAAACTATCACCACCAATCCGCTAATTATCCGCATAGTCCTATCGTTGTTTAGAAGAAGAAAAATATCGTCGATGAATTAACTTGATCAAGTTTATCAAATGAAAAAACTCAAACAAATGCAAGCGTAAACACTTACTGCACAAAAATTGCAAGAAACCTAAATTAAAAACTATGCAAAAATGCCCGTTTGGTTGACACAAAAGATGTTACGTCTTGGTTGATCACGTTGGGAGATTTGTGTCGAGTGGGTTCACACAGTATTCACAGAACTTTTTCCGACGAAAGCAATTTTTATTGTTGACAAAATATAGTGCCGCATCACAGCTGTCACACAAGTTCCACTGTACAGTGTGTATGGAATGTCAAAATCATATAGTAAGAAGACAAGAAATATGTGTGTGCGACAAGTTCGGATGTGCTGCAGCGTGGACCAATCAGAACCGCACAAATAGGCACACTTGGAACTGTCAAACCAGCATCTTTGACGAGTTTCAATAGATGTCGCTGCAATGTCGATTTTGGTTAAATCAAAATTTAAAATTTAATGCAATCACATTTCTTTTTTTGGGACATTGGCTTTTGATAAGATTTTTATTTTGAACAAAATAAATTTAACATGAAAAAATGAGAAAATTAAAAACTACTACTGAATAAAACTTGAACAAATGAACAATAACATTTATTTGTTTTTTTGTTTCAACTCCGACGGAATTATTCTGTTTTATGAAAATGCTATGGAAGGCTGAATGAAAACGTAAAATATATGTTGAATGAATGTAATTCCTACTGTCCAATCGAAAGATCTCAATTTTAGAATGGCAATCGAAATCAAATTTGTCATTCTTTTCAATTGGAGCCGGAATTTTTATTTAAACTTTGAATTTGGAACTTCATTCGAGAAAAAGAAGAGAAATAAAGGTCTTACTCAAGAAGAACAGAAGTGTAAACACTAAACATAAACAGCATTGTTTTCAATTTTTCTAGAGGAAAAACTAAGTTTTATTTTCAATAAAAACGTTAATATCAGTTACAATAATTCAGAATGTTTTCACACATTTGCATTTTATGACACTGTAATAATATTTCGATAATTGGTTTTTTTTTTATGAAAAAAATCTCAATTTTGTTTGAAAAAAGAACGATTGACTATTTTGAAATATTTGAAGCCAGCCATAACCCAAAATAAAGAAAAAGAGAAAAATAAAATACTCCTTAGATCCAAATTGGCTTCGGACAATAGAGGAATATTGAAGAAAAAAAATGCACAAAGTAAATCTACTCCTGGAAATTCAAATTAATGATTAGTATATGAGAATATTCCTTAAAATGGTTGAATTTGTTTGGTTGGAATTTGAGTCGGTTGTTTTGTGTGTCGGTAATAAGTTAGAAAAGTGGAATCTCTCTTTTTTAAACTAAAGCGATGAGACCACTGCTCCACTTCATACACATATCCACACATTTTTCTGCGATCATCCTTCGAAAATTCCGCGTGATTCAATACACGACACGTGTGTTTGCTGATCGATTCCCACAATTTAAGGATGATAAATGAATAATTCGGTTTGCTGCGTATTATTTATACTCAAGAAGTGGGTATAGATAGATCTGACAGAAAATTTAAAAACACTTGATTCAAGCATGTCATCGATCTCCATATCCACCTGTTGAATATAAATGCATGAATCCAATGAAACGTTTCCAATGCGATTGGGTCTTATTGCCAAAATTTTGAAAATTCAAAACGTTTGACTGGATCAACTCGTTACTTAGAACTACACTTTCCACCGGTTGCAAACTAATAAAATTGATTTGGCCGAGTGAACTACGATTTTATATCAATCGATAAGATTTTTTTTACCTACGGATAGATAAAGAAAATAAATATTTAAAAGTAAAAAAAAGGTGTATATATATATACAGAGTGATGAGTTTTATCAATCACAAGTACTTACGGCGATTTGATACACCATTTTTCATAATGTATGAAATTAAATGACAAATTGATTAATAATAACTTGAAGAAAAGAGAAAGAAATACATTCGAGTATTTCATTTTATCTATGGTGAAAATATTTCGTTTATCTACGTGGATTTGTGTGCTTGGTGTCGTTGTCAATGGGTTGCGTAGTACTTTCAAACGAGTCAATAAATCATATCAATCGAAGGGAAGAAGGTGAGCAAAAAAGTCTAGTATATACATACACTATGAAACATGGTGAGTTATCACCGACAAGAAACCGTTCGACACTGATCTAACTGATATATATATATATATAATATATATAATATATAAATATATATATATATATATATTTCTATTGAAAGCCGAGTAAAAAAGAGTGTCACTGACGAATACTTCAAACGGAAGATTACTTTATTGTTAGTTCAAAGCGATAAGCTCTGATGTTATCTTTGTTCATGCCTTTTTTTTATTTGGTTCGGCCTTTGTCACTGTGAATTCGGTGATTTTTCTTACAGGTGAACGATTACAACGTGGCAAACGTGGAAACTATTTTCTCAAGCCTTAATAAGATACTTTTTAAAATGAAGAAAATTTTATTGTTTTTGGGCGTGCATGAACATTCCCAAAGTGCAATATTTAACATATTAGGCCAGCTACGCAATATTTGACAACATGCATTTTCACTCGAGTCCCAAAAGTAGCGGTTCTACCCATCGATAACTTAGTAAATATTCAAAAACCGTAAAATGTTGAAAAAAATCTTTATTGACACCGACGACACCGCATTGAAATGTCATTGTTTGTCGAGTTACACAGAAATTGAATTAAATCGCTTCGTCATTCGTTATCTTATCGAAATCAAATACAGAAGAGAGCGTTGTTGTGTTTTGTTTCCAAACCTTGACGTTTTTCAAATTTTCGTCCGCGCACCCAAAACTTATCTCGAAAATGCGTCGATCGTCTATCGACGAAACTATTTGTCATCGATGAGTAAAATTTCCATTGGAAATTGTGTACGGTACATGGCTTCGTCATAAATGGAACACTTGACGAAAATTCCCGTTCTATGTTCATGCTTCACGCCCAAAATGCCATTTTATTGTCATTTAAACACTTGAAATTATATGTAAAAAAAATTATTTTGCTCTCCTCATTCAACGCACTGAACCTCACTACAGAAAATGATCTTTTTTGTTTGATGGCAGTTATCAACTGTTTTTTTTTCTCTCTCCTTTGATGGTTACCTTTTGTTGTTTTTTCTTGTTGTTCTCATCAACTTTATCGCGATGAAGGAAAGAAAAAAACAACACAATTCATTTTTCTTCTTCGATAGATAAACAATTCGAATAAACAAGTGAACGATGTTCAACAAAAAACTACGTGAAAGTGATAAAGTTTGTATTGTGTGCCATGGCGCAGGTAGGAAATGCCAACAGATGAACGTAGCGCATTAGCGAAATGCTCTTGATTCGGGTGACTAGATAAAGTCAAGTCGAATATCATTATTACGACAGGGAAAAAACCGCGTTTTATCGATTAGCAAACACGACGATTCATGATTAGATACAGTTTTTTTTATTGGAAGTCTTTACTATTCGATATAGGATTCGTCAGAAAGTCATGCTTCATTTTTTATTCTGTGAAACTGTTGAAAAATCTCGCAACCAAACAATCGTATTTAAAAAAAAAAACCTGATTATTTATCTTCAAGAAATAAAAGTAAACAGTACTCTTTTTATTTTGCGTTTAATTCTTCAACTTCAATGAAATGTTATCACGGTTATTGTTATTATTTTGCTGGGAGCTTATGAAAGAAGAAGTCGAGATCCATTGAATGGCAAGAAATTCAAAATGCGCCGACAATGATCGCCCAATTCATCTGCGTGCTCGTATACTATCCAAACTGAGCCCTTTGCACCGAATACAATTTGAACAATCGATGATTTTGCAAAATACAGCACTTCATGCCCTTCTGCTTGCAATGGGAATCTGTTGGAAAAAAAGCCATTTTTTTCTTCATTAAAGCAAACAAATTATCATCTTCATCTTTTATTTATAGTATGGGCAAAGCATATTGAAACCCCCCAAAAAAAATCCAAAAATAAACATCTCACCGGAAGTTCCATCTTAACACAGCACCGTCGCGTGGCAGATAATAATACAGATATTGGTTGGTTTCATCATCAAAAACGGGCGGAACAGTGAGTGCCTTGGCATTGCCCAGCAATGAGCCCAAATATTTCACTTCGACAAATAGTTCAATATCCTTATTTCGAATATTGTGTTTGATTTTGTTCAAATTTGCAAACCATAGGCCATTCGAATAATCGCTGATCACCAGCTCATCGTCACCTTTCATCGTAATTTCTGCTGGTATCAACACGTCATAAGCACCACCGTTTCTGGTCGGAATGATCAAAGTCAATTTTTTCGGGCGAATACTTGACATGGAGTATTGAATGAGGAATCTGGATCGATGAAGCAAAATTAAAGCATATTCGATGCCTTCCTTTGCGTACAACTGTATGGATTTCAGTGAATCGCATTTCAACCTCTTGAATACGTATCGATGAACCTAAAAATATATTAGATGTTCTTTGTAATGCTTTGTTTGAGCTCTTGAACTGTGAACGTTTAAATTCCTCTTAAATCCAGACAATGTTTCCATAATATGGTACATTTTTTGAGATGATTTAAATTGAAATTTATGGTTTAAATTCAAACATTACCTCATTATTACCCCGTAGCAAATCAAACACAATCAGTTTTGGTATGCAATACTTCGAGCCATTGTCCAATAACCACAATAGACCATTTTTCCGATCGACGGCTGTTTGCATGGTTTTCACAATGCCGTTACAATTTGATTGCGTTTTTGCATATGATAAATCGTTCGGGAATACTCGCGATTGAATCGGCAGCAGATTTTCTGGCCACGTTGATTCGATTATTGTTATTTGATCTGCAGAAATAAAATACACAAACACATAAGAAATTTACCCAAAAAAAGGAAAATTCTTCGAAATACTGACGATCTGTTGAGTTTCCACGACTGCGAATGGTCAAAAATGAGCGAACATAAAACAAAGACACATGTACAATGTCGTAATCATTGTTATTGGTGATGAAGTGCAGGCCAGTATCATCGTATGTAGCCAAATTCCAAGCAGATGAACATACAATCAAATACCAAACAATTGAGAAATGTTTCATTTTTTCTTCGGTTGGAACTGAACTAGAAATTTGGGCTTAAACCACTTGAAAATTAACTACGGAAGTAAACTATGAAATGAATGATGGCACAAGTTTGCACTTGAGTATATGCACCAGCACTGCGCTTACATGCAGAATAAATGCATACGAAACCCATCTTATTTGCACGAGCTGAAAGTTTTGAAAAGTGAAAATGTTTACAGTTCAACAAAAATAACAACAAACACGGAAGTGCTTCAGAATCCCAGAAGAAAACAAGCTAAAAGCGTAAGCATACGCACAAAAAATGAAATGAGTAATTGTTAGAATGTTTTGAAACAATTAAAATTGCTGTCCATTGAATTACGGCATACAGCTTCATTTATGCGATAGAAAGATTCCAATCCATCGGCTTCAAAATGTGTGCATTTCAAAAATACCGACTGCATTGCCCACACATCGGTAAGCAGAGCGTTCAACCGCTTACATCGCAATAGCTCACTGTATTTCATCATTTTTGATGACAACTTGATGACCTGTCACTCTTTATACCAGCTTCTATATTGTTTGTATTCACGTCTTGAGTGTGGCAGTGCATTGAGATGTGGTATAAACAGTAGTAAACAAAACATGTGTTTAATTTCGTAATTTTTTTTTTTCATTTATCGTCGCAATATTGCACAGCGTGAAATAGATTAGATATTTACTGGATTAAATGTGATTTTTCAGCGTTGAAATTGGGCTGGATGAAATTTGTTAAGTAAAAAACGATGTCAAAATCTGTGTCACGAAAGAAAGTTTAGCACATTCACTTTAGTATTTTGTGCAACGTTGTGTGGGATTCAATTTTATTAATCAATCAATGAAATGGTTGGCAAAACGAAGAAATCATCGCTCATTTTGAGTGATCTCAATGATGATGTTCTCTGTATCATATTTGATTACTGTTCACTCGACGATCTACTGAATTTATTTTACGTGTGCAAACGCTTTCAAGCAATCATTAGACGATCGACATTCTTACGACGAAGCCTAGATCTATTGCTAGTTGGCCATCGAAACCAAAATGCGATCTCGTATCAACGGTAAGTGTTTTGGATAACAATCAATGCCCTCTATTTCCATATTTGAAACACGACAGTGAATTGTTGCATTTATTTCGTCCACAGAACAATACAAAATTTGTCTTATCATAAACGGGTGAAAGTGTTCCAAAATTGGTGTTATGGCCGTTATGAGGAGCATATTTTGTTCCATCAATCTCAATTCAACCCATCGAAAATATTTTTAGAAAAAGAATTTCTGTACAAATCACACAGCGGCCAATTGAGAAAGTTTGCACGATCGAAGCGACATGGTGAGATTTTGTATCGACGGCCGATTGAAACCTATGGTGAAGTTCGTGATGCTGACATCACAAGCTTGAGCAAAACTGATGGAACCATTTTTATTGGGCGACGAAATGGTCGTGTGAAAATTATTTCGGTTGATGGCAACGATGAAAATGATCCGATCGATGAGACTAACGTCAGTTCAAACGCATATTCAGGGCAACGCGTTGAATCAATCGACTTTTCTGGCGATTTATTTGCAACGTCAACACTGCAACGGGCTGCTTTGTGGCAAAAACGCTATGAACTCGATATGCCGTATTTGGATACTGTGGCTGAACTTGGTGAAGGTTTCAAGTGCATTCGATTTTCGCCAAACGTTGATCGAATGGCAATGGGCAAATATAAAGATGCATCGCGCAGAGGCCTCTCCTTGGTCGACGTAGCAACGTGAGTACAAATCAAACTAGGGCCATTAAGTCAATTACTAAAATTAACAAACCATTTATCGATTTCAGCAATGATGTAAGCCCATTAGCATCGGATACATCGTCAATTTATGACCTTCAGTGGAAAGATAATGATGTTATATTAACGGGACATTATGATACAACGTTTCGTTTATTCGATTGTCGTACAAATTGCGATGAATTGATATGGTTGGATCCATATGATTTGGCCATTTATTCCATTTCATATGATGGGAATTTCGGTGTTTTATGCGGCATGAAGTATCATTGTCGGGTGAATTTGTACGATTTACGGGTGCCAAACAAATACATTCAACTTTATTTCCCGAAACAACGTTTCCGCGGCGCTAAAGGCATCAGTTCACCAGCATATCAAGTGGTTAACGATCAGAGCCAATTGTTCATTGCAACCGATTATAATTTACGTGTTTTGGATTTTGACGCTGACTGGGCTGAATCAAAAGACTACACCAATATTTTTGTTCATGAAATGATCGTCAATGCGAGTTCATAGTTTTGAGAATTTTTTTTTTTTCATTATTACAATTTGGAGGCTTTAGGCAAAAGCGTTATTAATTTTTTAAATAAATTTCTGTATATTCTGTAAATATTGAGGTTGAACAAAATGTCAAAAGCACAAAAGTGTACGGTTCGAATTCTGATACCCGATTCGTTAGGTCTTTTGACCACCGCTCAAATAGTTCAATTAAAGGTTGAAATTATTTTAGTTCTTGTTTTGTTCTTTGGAAGATTTTAAAGTTTTGTGTAAAATCAAATAAATTACAACAGCATGATAAATAAATTTAGTTCTTTTATTAAATTCCATAAATTATCACTAAGAAAAATCCTAGGCAAAATCTGTTGGGAAATCTTTCAAAAAAGCTCTCTGTATTTTACAACTTGAAGACATGCAACGATTATCGTTCAAAAAAAATGAACAGCGATAATATTGAAACAATTTCTAGTTAAAATCAATTTATTAATCAATTAAAAAATTGATTTCATAACAAAATTATAAAATAGACATTTAGGAAATGGAAGAATGGACTAGATTTATGTCCAATTCAAATGATATTTAAGCTTTATTCAGTAGTTTGGTTTTGATGGTGTCTAACAAATCGGTAAGTGTGGTAATTTGTTCGCTACATTGGTCCTGCCATTCGGAGTCTTTTGCTGCTTTGATACAGCCCTGTTAATTGAAATAAAAAAAGAACAAAGTTTTGGCTCTTATTCTTGTCATTTTCTAAATTATCAATTGAATTAAAAAGGTCTGATTGAGTTGGACTTCGGTTTATTCTTCAAATAATTTTTTGGCTAGTGAATTTACCTGTGTTGTGAGTCGTGCTGACGATAATTGTGATGCTGCCGCAGTATTACTTCCGCTATCAATTTCATCGTATGCTCTCAAACTTGACTCGCACAAGTTATTACAAAGACTCAATACTTGAATCGTTGTTTCGGGTGTTTTTGTCCACGTATTTTGTCCCTATACAAAAAAAAACGTTTCACTCTCTTTTGCAGTAAAAATAGAAATTGAGTATTATTCTTAAAAAGTTTTCTTTCTCTCTACCTGTGTATACGCACGATATGCCTTCTGTAGTTTTTGTGCTTTTTGAAGTGGTACCTTGTCGAGTAATTTTGCGGAGAGTTCAAAGACGCCACCTTCTGTTGGATATTGAACGCATAATTGTGCTAGAAGATTCTGGGCTTTCTTCAAGAGACGTTCACTAGGACGGCCTAGGACAAACGATTTATCGAATAAGTCTTCAACATAATGCCAACAAATCAATTACAAATTCGAAATTACCTTGAGCATCGGGAGTGTTGTTACAAATGGCATTTACTGTGATCATCAACACCTCCTTATCCAAATGCTTTGACTTCAATTCGCCGAGTCGGTGATGTGCATTCAATACGTCTTCAAAATTTCCGGTGTCCAGTGAAACAATGAGGAAATTCTCCCATACCTTCCAATTGTCGTAATTGCAGCGTAGCGCTTCGGTGAGAATTTTGTGGGCTCGTTGTTTGTCGCCCAAATTGAGATAGGCTTTGGCCAAGTTATTCCAACTTTCGAAACCATTTGGCTCGATATGTGTATAGTGTCGATAGGCTTTGGCCGCCAATTCCCATCGTTCAAGTGACAATGCTGCATAGCCAAGCCTTGACCACACCGCCTCTTGTAACGAATTGATGGCAATCGACTTTTCCAAGTGTGGAATTGCTTCTTCGAATTGCTTTTTAGCATAGTAATGAGTACCAAGATGACGTTGAGCACGACCGCTTCGCTCTTTGGAAAATTCCCATGCTCGTTCGTACCATGTCTTATCGTCTAATGCATCACCTAACATACAATACAGTTCAACCGATTCTTTCTTCTTCAGTTCATTTTGAATGACTTCGGCCGCCTAGAAGAATTCAACAGAAAAAAGGATTGAGAATCGCCTTGAATTTTCATTTGACTTATTTCATTAAAATGATTTCACGGTTTTCACCTTATGCTTAAGATCCAACATATTGTAGCACATGATAACGGCTTCCCATCGCTCGATCTCCAAGTAAATATCCAAAGCAGTCTTCACAAACCCTAAGCTAACCATCAAATCGGCCAATTGCGCTCGGATCAACCAATGTGGACGTACGTACGATGCATATACAAATGACAACCTGATGGGTTGATGAAAAAAATAAATCCAATAAGATTTTCTTCCACTCCAGAAACGGGCAAAAGCAAAACATGAATTTACCGATGAAAATTGCTTGTGGCATCAGATTTTGTGACCAGTTTCATGATCTCCTCGCATTGTTTGAGACTTCGTTCAACGGTGCGTTTGTGTGTAGCTTCCATGGAAATATTTTCTAGTAGAACCGATATCCGAATTGGCCATGGACCTTGTTCTTGATACATTAACGTTGTTAAATATGGCATTAGTTCTTCGTTGGCCAATTTGTCCTTTGGTTGGGATTTTTGAATGTAATTACTGCAAGCGCGAGAAAATTTGGTTTTAATTAATCAGAATTGGCATATTCATTTTGAACGAAAATTAAATAAAAGAGCGATTGACTTACTAAGTGCCCAAAATGAGTGCTTGAACGATGCCTTTGGTCCTCGTGATAACGTTGTCCTCTTCGTTGACAAACTGAATTTTTTCCAATCGAACATCGTCGTCCAGTTGAAGAATGGCTGGAAGTGTGACGGACGCAACGGGAGACTCAATGGATGGTAAATCGACGACATCACCATTTGGCGAATCGACTCTCAGCATCAATTGTGGCAATGGTTTCTGTTGATATTTCGTACGAACGCCCAATTTTCCTTCGATTGAAATATTCACATCGAGCAACTGTTGTGCCATTTGTAATTTTTCTTTAGCCGTAAAAATGCGTTTATAGTGTAATTGCCATGCGGTAATTTCCAACAGACAAATCACTTTTGAATCATTATCGATATTTTCAATTTCATTCAGATGTTCAACTAAGGCGTCTGACACGTTGTTTATGCCATTGAAAAGTGTGTCGGTAAATTCGTCAATAACAAGTTGATGTACACCGTAGTACCTCAATAGCCAGTGTTCACAGATAAATTTCTCAATGGGATCGTTGACACTTTCCAAATTCGAATGTAAATGCGTGAGAATATATTTTGAAACAGCCAAAAGTTCCGGATGCTTTGCATTTGTATTGATTTCTTCTCCATCTGACATCAGGTAGTTTCGCAATGACTCATTGCCGACGCGTTTAACGTCGGCATACCAAGGAAGTTGCTTGAATTCATCTCCTTCGTTCAACAATGGACCAACGAAATTGCCTTGAACAAATGCTTGCAGAGCCGATATCGCCAGGCACAACAGTTCCTCATTGTTTCGTGATGATAATTCGATGCCATCGAAATTGTTCGCTAAAATTTGATCGAAGACCTCATTGCTGAGATTTTGTGACCAATTGCACTCCCATAGCGATTTTAGGGTTGGTGTCCACTCTAAAAAAAAGCATTTTTTGTTAATATTATTTAAAAAACTGTCCAATTTCATTCAACTATTTACCGTCAGTACATACGTTCACTGAATAATTACAAAGCCAATGCTGATTAATTACCATTTTATATTGATTTGAATGTTTTTAGCCTAACTTCGATGAAACTCCTCATTAACAAATCGAACAATTATCCTTGATTTAAGAAAACACCCTTGAAATGTATTGACAATGTGCTTGGCAGAACTGTCTGTCTGTCTGTTATCTAGCTGTAAACGATTTCTACACAATAAACATGTTGATTTAGGTTATGTATACCTGTACCTTTGCCTGTGCAAGTGGTCTTTTCCTTACATCCACACTTACATATGGTTCGACAGTACTGTCAGTGCAGCACACATTCAGCAATCATTTTTGACTTGCTGACAACATTGATTCAGCACATGAAACACTTTTTTTTGAAATTATGTGTCTTCGCATTGTGATTGCGATTCTCGACGATACGAAAGAAAAGCCAAAATTTTAAATAAATCTATATCAGTTTATTGTTGTCATCAAATATAATCACACACGCTTATGATTAAAAGAGATTTCCATTGTTTTTTCTCTCTACAATTCACTTTAATTGTTGTTGATTTTTTGTTTATTTCAAATAATACTTTATGTTTTTTTTTGTTAATCCTAAAGAAACGTTAAAACAACCCAAAATTGGTAGTAATATATCGTATTGATAAGAAATTAGTTTGAAAATCTCAAACATGAGCCATTTGAGACTCTCGTACGAGATGCTCATAAAGCGGAAATAAGTAAGGAAATCCAAATCTGGAGAGGGAGAATTTGGACAAACATTCACGAGCTGAAAATCTCTTTCATTCCATGCTTAATCACTTCTGGCTTTATCCAATAATTGCACAAACGGTGGTTACAAATGAAATAGATCGAAGTGGGGGAGAGGTTAACTGAGGGGAAAGAAATAGAGTATGTCATGGTCATTTTAGCCAATTACAATGAACATAGTGCAAATTTTCATGTTTAATGGCTACATAGTGCATATTCACTTAACATACATACATATCTGTTCAAAATCAGAACAAACGTACGGAGTACAAAGCTTTATTTTTTGAATTCCGAGTTGCCTAACTCCGGGCGTTTTATAAATTCAAAAGTTCTTCTAAGGTTTTAGTTAACCATTTGAATATGTACGCTCTACGCACTGCACAATAATTTGTTGTTAATAATTTGATGTGATGCAAACAATGCAATTCCAATCAGAAATAGAAAAAAGAGTGTAAGACAAACAGACAGAGATAAAGAGACCTAAAGAGATTTGATCGGATGTATTGTAATTCTAAAAAGCTTCTTAGGATTCTAATATGCGGTTTATTGTTGTGTTTTTGTTTATTCAGAACTGTTGCGATTGCTTTCCATTTGTGAGATATATGATTAATTGGACCAATCGAAATATAATACATGGATTGATAATGTGTACAATGTGTCTCTTCACACCAAATGTGTACGTCTATTTCTTTGTAGTAGACGACTCGCAAGTCACGTTTTAGACAAAAACTAATACAAAAATAACGTATTTGTTCTTCATATTTTTCTTTCCTCTTAAATTATGTTCACATTTTAGGTTATTTACCTCGACACGCGTCCACTTGACATTGATTGTGTGATTGAAGGTGCTAACAAAGGAAAAACTTTATGACAATTAAAACCGAACAAAGAACAACAACAAAGTAAACAAACATTACAGCTTAACGGCAAATGTTGCGAAAGTGTTTTAACCCATTAACTGACAGCCATATTTGAAGATTTTTTTCAGACAGGGGTTTCAAGTTGAATATTTTATTAAATTGAATGTCAATAATCATATAATGAAAGCTACAAACTCAAAAAAAAACTTCTTCTTATCAAACCAATACCAAAATATGTTTTCATGAAAAGTGATGAGCTCAATTCGAAAAATTGACTGGTCGGATTTCCGACCAGCGGCAATTAATGGGTAAATTTCGTTGATCGATCGAGTTAAAGGTGTCAAACGGACACTCGTTTGTCCGTCCGTCTGTCCTTTTGAATATTTAGGACGGACAAAAAAATTTTTTTGTCCGTTTGAAAATTTAGGACGGACAAAAAAATTTTTTTGTCCGTTTGGAAATTTAGGACGGACAAACAAAAATTTTTGTCCATTTGAGAATTTGGGACGGACAAAATTTTTTGTCCGTCCGTTTGAAAATGTAGGACGGACAACGGACAAATCTTTAGGACGGACGGACAAATTCTTCAAACGGACATTTTTCAGACGGACGGCCAAAAATTTTGTCCGTCCTAATGGTATAGTTCGGTATATTTATTTCTAACTGTTTCTTTGTAATGTGTATAGATCATATGACTCCGGCCTCTTTGCAAAGTTATACTTTTCAATTTCAAATTGTATAATGTCACCAAAGCAACTAAAATCATCGAAATTTTCAATAAAAATAACAATGTTTATTCGGTACAAAATAAATTTTATTTATTCTAAATTGCCTATCGGCGAAAAGATCGAGAAGAAATACGGGGAATGAAAAAAAAAACGTTTTATAATGCACGAACTGTAATATCATATTCCCGTCAAACAAACGTTTTCCAAATATTGGATTTATTTTTATTTTTCATATATATTGTCAAATTTAAAACACATTCCAATGAGGCTAATTAAATTCGAACATTATTTTCGAAAACGAAATAAACATTGTTTTTTTAAATTGAAATTTTCAAATTTTGGCTCTAATACCAATTGGCTCCAATATAAAGGGTGTCCCAAAAGTACCTGACCGATTTCTTTTTTGAATAAAATCTGCAATTACCGACGGATTTTTGTCATATTTGACAGGTGACGTCTCAAAACTATAGGATTTGGTTCGGAGTTGAATTTCATATGATTTTTCCATTTATGACCAAACCAGCGGCTTCTATTTTAGAGCATAATTTGAGCCCTAAAGTTCGGGAAAATGTTGATTTTTCCGACATGGATTGATTGAATATCGTGTTCAAATGACTCCAAAATGTGGTGGACTTTCGATACAACATTTTTCAAAAAGAATCGAATAAACATTGTTATTTTTATTGAAAATTTCGATGATTTTAGTTGCTTTGGTGACATTATACAATTTGAAATTGAAAAGTATAACTTTGCAAAGAGGCCGGAGTCATATGATCTATACACATTACAAAGAAACAGTTAGAAATAAATATACCGAACTATACCATTAGGACGGACAAAATTGTTGGCCGTCCGTCTGAAAAATGTCCGTTTGAAGAATTTGTCCGTCCGTCCTAAAGATTTGTCCGTTGTCCGTCCTAAATTTTCAAACGGACAAAATTTTTTTTTTGTCCGTCCTAAATTTCCAAACGGACAAAAATTTTTTTTTGTCCGTCCTAAATTTTCAAACGGACAAAAAAATTTTTTTGTCCGTCCTAAATGTTCAAAAGGACGGACGGACAGCCAATGTCCGTCCGTTGTCCGTCCGTTTGACACCTTTAGATCGAGTTGTGATCGGGGTAGATAATAATGTAACCAGTCGAAAAATCGGTAGGTATAGTTTTTTTTATTGTTTTCTTTCTTTGTCTTACATTTGTTCCGTTTTTGAATATTGGAAGACGAGAAAAGATTGATGAGAGAAGAAAAAATTCAAATGTTTGCTAACAATTGGCTTTTAGTCACAAAAAAATGACGGTCCAGAATTTGAGACGTAAAAAATTGGCAGTTTATATTACAACAAATATTCACGTAATATTGCGTTGTGAAAATGATGAACCATTTTCGGAACGGCATCGTTCGCATTGATCGACGGTGTCGCTGACGCCATGGTCGAAAATAGAAACAAACTCTTCGCGAAAGTGATACGAAATGAAGATGAATTTTATTGCGATAACGTTGAAACTCAACCGAAAGTTACGAAAAAATCAGTCGAAAATGAGTGTCGAAAATCGATAAAAAACGATGTAATGAAATTATCCGGTGCATTTGTCTTTTACTGTACGATTTTTTTTTATCATTTATTTTTCTTTTTATTTTATTTTTAAACCATAAAATCTATATATTTTATAGGAATCTGCTATATAGTAAATAGTTGATTTGATTTGATTTTTTTGCCTTCATTCAATGGACTCATTCGTTAAATAGACAATTTTTTTCATCTTTTCCTCATGTTATGATATCTCATATTTCTCTCTGTATTTTCTTCTTCTTCTTCTTCTTCTTCATTTCCTTTTTTCGTTTTCTATTTTTACTCTTTCATTTGCAATGTTTTTGTTTTGTAATTTATTTGTGTTAACATTTCCTTCAACAAGCATAATTTTTAATGGTTAACAATTTATATTGGTTTGTTTTTCTCTTTTTTTTGTGTGTGTGTTTTGTTTATTCTATGAATCTTGTATTTTGAATCTATTTGTTCACGCATGACAAAAAGCTAAAAGTATAATCGAAAATCATGTGTTAGTTACTAAAATTATGAAAGAAAAAATGCGCCATAGCCTAATTTTTGATAGAAAAAAGAGCGAAATTCTGAAATATATATCGTAAACGAATTGAAAAATATCGAATAATGATTTAAAAAATTTTATGCTGAATTATTTAGTTGTGGTGTATATCGTACGTAAGAAAATGAAACGTTTCCTTTCTATGCCTCCGCCGCCGACGCCATTGTGTAATATATTTTTCTTCACATTTTTGGTTGTAACAATGAAAATTCATTGCAACCACACACACACACACACACCAAATACCCAGTATAGATGTATCTTTTCATCGTTTGTATCCGTTCGATTTAAAGCCATCGTTTATAATCAAGTTCTTTTTTCTATTTACAGCGAAAAATATTTGAGAAATTGAGCTGGCGGTACTGGTTGAAACTCGTTGATTGCTGTATCACCACCAGCTGCCTCTTTCAAACGAGCCCGATAGTCTGGCGACTGATCCGCTATGCAAGGATGGCCTACAATTCGTTTAATTGAAAATGGTATTCGGTCAGCATTAATTATACATTCAACAGACGGCAAATGAAAGTATAATTTGAATATTTGCTCACCTGCCGATGGCCAAAACAAGCAACAACAAAATCTGCACAACGCCAAAATTTCCGAATACTGATAGTCCTCTCGAATTCCATATTTTCTGCAAATTGAAATCAAATGTTCGTTTAACAATTTGAACCCACACTTTGGCTACTGATAATGAGATAAACACATGAACAGTAAACCCAGTACACATACCTTCTAAGTGCATGATAAATTTTCTGCCAATCTTTGGTTTGGAAACGTTTCGATGTTTTGTTTTCGGTGCTGTTCACGCTGTTCGAGTTGACATCGTTGCGTTGATTGCTTGAGTTCGCCGCATTCTGTTGGCTATTACTATTCGTGGTGCTACTGTTATTTCGATCATTACTGACTTTATTCGAATCATTGTTGTTGGCAAATTGTTTTTGAATCATTTGATCGATTTGTGGCTTGGTAAAGTGGAATTGAGTCAATTCGCGCCATACTCTCTGCTCCGAAGCTAATGCTGCCATTAGAGTCCAGGCAGCCGATGAAGCTTCCAAATCTCGATGATCATTTATGCGTAGTATAATCTCACGAACACACTCCTCTGGTAAATCCTGCAATTTTGGATACACATCCGGACCCGGCTAATTTTCGACGGTAGAAAAGAAACGCATTTAAAACCGAAGATCCAATATTTCATATGAAATGTGTATTTGAATGCAACAAAATGCTACCTCTTTGATTTTGATTTGTGTGGCCATTTCTTGGATACGTTGAATGGTTTCGACATGACCTTTCCACAATATTTCGCTGCCTAATGGCTTCCCCCAGCATTTTTGATTCTCTTGATTGACAATCTTCTGCAGTTGTATCGCTAACCCTCTGAGTACGTTAATATTTTGTTGACTATCGCTTACTAAATTTCGTCAACAATAAAAGAAATAAAAATCACTAAAACCGTTTCTAGATAGATTATGTATGGTGCAATCAATTACCATGTGTGGCAACTTCTTCCAGCATTTGCAAGAGCATTCGTTGGGCACTGCCCGGCAGGCTGGCGATCCCTTTGTTCGATACTAGTAAACGTAGTAATGAGCATACATATTGAAACCTTCGTCGATCGCGAACCGATGAACGAAAATCTAAACGTTTCACAGCTTCGCCAAGTCCATTGAAACCGGCTATTTCACGTGTACACCGTAACGTTATATGGCAATGCGGCGGAATATCAGTTTCACTATCATCATCACCTAGTCCATTTGATGGATTCGACCTGCAAAAAAAAGATAATATTTAAAATTTACTTCACCATTTTCCCGTTCCATTCAATAGAGGATGACGATTTATGTCATAGTATTAAGCTAATGGGATAATAGCGGCATGGCGTCAAGCTCAAGGCTATATACTAATTCCATTGAGATAAAAGAAAGATTTCGTGGATTATCAACAGAAGAATTTGGCATGGGCGAAGAAATCTTTTCACCATTGCCGCAAATGAGTTTCATAGTACTACGCACCGACTCAACAAAACGAATCAGAGGTTTTTTTTCTCTTTATTAACCTTGCTACTTTGTTATGCTAAGTATCTACGAATACTGGTGTTCCAATAGATTTTGACATTGCTTTCGAACGTCGTGCAAACAAAAAGCATTTTTATAGCTTTGCTTTTTTTGCACAAACGTTTTTTTTTTTGCTATTCAAAGGAATTGATGGATTTGTACAATTCTCCAAAACGCAATTAGTTCATGTCAAAACGACTGACTACGCTTGCCTGAATCGGCCGTAAAATCGAAAATCCAAATTCCCCGATCACAATTTTGGAACGTCCTATTGAATGCCTTGAATATTCTAATTATAACGCTGCACAAACAGATTCATTTCAATTGTATCGTTTGTCGGGTGCGATTCGTAGTTTTCAATTTGAGCTCATTCTAAATTAGTTAGTGGATTCAATTTTGACAGCGTTTTCGAATAGAAAATGTGGCAACAATTACTGGACCAATTTCTTTTCATTTATTTTTTTCGACTGCATTTCATTCGATTTTATTTTTAACACGTCGGGTGCTCGTTTTCAACGGCATTCAGAGTGTCGTAATTAAGCGCATAAGGTAATCTCAATGCAATCCGAGATTGAGTCTCGGAATATATATGTGCCCGCCGCATCCACGGAATTTCGTTTGTTCTAATTATAACCAATTCGGTTTTTGTTCCGGATTATTTCCATCGCATTCGGCTGTACACAGCTGTGAGCTGTCCGTCCATGTTTTCGGTGCACATTTTCCACTTTTAATATTTTACCTCTATTTTCGGAAATCACATTTCCGAAGTGAAACATGTTTCACATATGTTCTTTCACAACTTTTTTCAGTTATCTTGCTACTATTGACAACTGCAACAAACTATTATCCGAGCATCTAGAGTGTGGTGGATTCTCTTATGACATACATGGTTTCGTCACGTTGTGATTTAATTCCAGAGGATTTTTTTTATACACGACCAAAGGGATATTGCAACTTTTTTGACCAGAAAAAACATCATCTTACGTCGTGCCCGTAAATTATTTTACTGTACATTTAGATGGTAGAGCTTGAACAAAAGTTCGACACTATGCATAAACTTGGAAAGAGCTTGATAAACTTGATGAAATACATATATTTTATGGTCGTTGCAATACCCCTATGTACACGACACATTCCTACCCAAAACTAAAATAAATCTAAATGATTTTTTTTTTTCAACTCACCAACTCTCACTCGTATCACAAGGTTCACTGCTGCATCTGTGAATTGGAATAAGTAAAAAAAAAATTGATGAATTCATGCCAGAGAAAGAAAGAGAGAGAAAGAAAAAACAGACAATTTTAAACCAAAAATGTTTGAAAATGATGAAAAATATTCCTCAAGCGATGTAAACATAGCGGAAACAATTTAATTGCTTTGCTTTTTCGTATCAGATTCGAAATGTTTCCAGCATTGTTTGATCTGTGATCCAATTTATGTATGTGTACTTTATTGTTGAAAAAAAAAGTAAAATACGGGATTAAAATTAACGAAAGAAAATCGAATTTCATGGAACCAGAGCATGCAAACGTAATTTTCTTGGTGGAAGTGGACAAAAGAAATGAATTAACCAAAACAAACGCTCCAATTTATTGCGATAAATTTTTTTTTCGTACAATTGCGTCGCCGTCATGTCTACGATCAATTGGTATCAAGCAAGTAAAAACGAGCAATTTTTTTTCTCTTGTACATTTCATAATTATACATTCGGTCACGAGCGACAGCACACAATTGCTACGATACATTCGAGCTCACACCTTGTACAGGCTGATTTTTGACTTGAAATTGGCGTATTTCGCTCTAGAAAAACTGAACAAAATATTTTGACTTATGTTAAGCGCCTCACACTTGAACAGCACTCGAATTAGACGATTTCGATGTTTATTTTTTTTTTCGTATTGTAGCATCTTTAAATGCGCATTGTATTATGTAGTGAACATACAACGTCAGGCAAGTATTTGATTCAATTGCACAAATCAAGTGTAATATAATTTCATTTTTGTGCACACATCGACATACGCAACGTAAAATGTGTTGATGGCTGTAACGGCTGCAACGATGCAAACTCGAACACATTCGATTGTGTAGTAAATAAACTTGGTGTCGTTTCTTCGAAACATATTATAACCGATGATAACTGCTAACGCAATCACAAAATGTAATTTCATTCAGAGTCTCATTTTCATTTTTGTTTACATTGCAAATGGAATTGAATTACATACACCTTTTGGTCATCTGGTGATAACTTCGAATTGTATTGACAAATGTGAAAATGCAAATTTGCGAACAGCTGATTACAACATCCCAATGCCAATCGAAACTATACCAAACAAACCATTTGGCAACGTTTTTCTTTTTCTAGAGCAACGACTTATCTTATCTCTAGCATATTAACATATATATGCAAGACGACATAATCGAGGCGATGTATTTCTATTTGGTATGATATTTAACATAAAATGCAATCAATTGAAACTTGTTTCCATCATGAACGAACGAAAAAAAAACTATGCCATATGTAAATCAGAGCGATTCAATCAAGAGAAGTCACCGACTTGAATTACTCATTATGAGTTTTTTTTCTTCTTCTTCTTCTCTCATGAATTAGACTTCTCTCATGCGTATCGCTTTTTTTTATTGCTTCAAGGCATCGTACAGTGTGTATCGCTGATGGGTGAGTGCAGATCGTTATGAGCACCAGTGTGTCGGCCAAGTATTTGCATAAAGAAATTTATTCAGTACTGTAATGGGATCGAATTGATACGAGGATGTTGAAGTTTCCAGCGGCAAAAATCCTCTATGTAAGCATTTTTTCTATTTTCTTTTTCTCCAGGTTATCGTAGCCATGAAAATGTTGCACACACGCAACAAGAAATCCAATAAAAATATATAGCAACAGTAGCTATCGATGTGCATACATTCCGTAGATCTTGAACGAATAGATGCGAATGGGATAAAAATTGAGGATAAAAAATAACAACAATTCTTAGAGGAACCTAGATGTTTGGTATGTGTGTGTGTGTTTGCGTTTTTCACCTTGACAATATCTCTCTCTCTCTCTCGCGCGCGCGCTCACCCTCTTTCTCGACGCGTCGCAGACCGATATTTACAGTGGGTTTGCTTCTATGATATCGCATTAATTGGGTCAGAAGTTCATACATAATGTGATTGAAAATGGTATAATAAGATATATATGCATTCCCGTACAGTCCACACAAACACGAAACTCATTTTAATATAAATAGTACATGGTCATAGAGCTTTTATTGAAGCATTGCGTATGAATCAAGAAAGCAAAAAAAAAACACTGGAATTGTTGCATACTAAATCGATCCGCGGTGCATCTGTCTACTAAGATGGACACACATTTCTCTTTCGAACCCCGAACATTGTTGCATACAAACGGCTCCAAATGTGCGCCGAGTTACATTTTGTTGCGGCAGCGAATGAGATGAGTGAGATGGAAAAACGAACAAAATCAGCACATAAAATCGGTTTCGCTCCAGTGTTCAAGGCTTTACCACATACATTGCATTGCATTGTACATACAACAAACGCGACGATTTCATTTTGCCAATCTCACTTGAACACAATTTGTCGAGATTCACTTTCACTTATAAGCCATTCGTCTAACCAATTGATTAGCATTTTGTTCGAAAAGTGTGCAAACGGAACTCGTAAACTCGTATTTATTCTATTGAGAGGTAATCAATGGTGTAGTATGAAGAGAAAAAAATAAACGCTGTACGGAATTCGGGTTAGGAGGTTACGACGAAATAAAATAGATCGACATTTTACAATGGGCCGACCATCGTTGAATGTACAATCGAATGGAATCGCTGCTATTTTTATGCCCTTCGACTCTCTTCCTGTATTTTAGAATGGAAAAAGTGTAGAAACATATACACATACTCCGAAGAAACGTCATTCATTAGATACTCCACAGTTTTTGTGTGTTTGGGAATCGAGAACACATTCTTTTGTTGTAATATCCGTTACGATAAATTGGCGTTCATTCGGTCTTGTATATTTTGATTTTTTTTCTTTTGGCATTTATATTCTTCGTTTTCAATATACACACACACATTTCCATTCCATTTGAATCCATGGCCAGAGATTTTTATCGATGATTTGGTTCAACCGACTTCAGTTTGATGCAAAATGAGGACCCACATTTGGCAAAAAGTACTGTATAAGTAGCTGAATTTTCTAATTTTGTTGGCTTTTACAAAGAAAACCCATTTATACATTTACGGGCAATTATGATGCTGTCAAAATAAAATGTGCACAGAGAGTTTGCAATGTATTTCAAAAAGTATGTGTGTGTGTAAACGGTAGCTTACAATATACAGAGAGTGAGAGAGAGAGAGATTGGATTTTGAGCTCATTCAAAATGATGAATGCTTAGTTTCACTTTCTTAAGACCCATCTAGGCATCTACTGCAATCGCTTCCGCAATTGCATTGTGTTTGCAATGACAAATGGTAATTTTGTGTCATATAGCTGGTGTTCGTTTTTTTTCTTCTGCAAATTGGAATGGAATGGTGTGTGCGGTGAGTGCATTTCATGCGGTTGCAATGCAAACGAGTTGGCAAACAAAAAACGTATTGCAATCACGTCATACACAACGTATGGCGCTTACGATGATCGCTACAACCACCAAACACACAATGAATGCAAAGAAGAAAAAAAACACTTACACAAAAATGAGTTCAATTCGTAGTAATAACTTTTTTTCAATTTTTTTAAAAATAATATTGTAAGCATTTTTTTAACCGGATTCTCTTGCTATTTTCGCCTTTCATTCCGTATCATTTTGAAGTGTGTGTGTGTGTATGTGTGCTTTTTTCTATCTATCTCGTGTTGATGGTGTGTACCACGCGATATCATATTGTGCATATGCACCTATCCAATTCAATATGAAGTAGCATAAATTTGGCGGCTTATGAATGCCGAAAACAAAGCGCTCTTGTCTCTATTTGATTACCGAGTTGTATTACATCCAACATAACACATTGCTTGATTTTATGTTGCTCTTCTTTCGTAACCATTGCTCGGATTTTTTTTTTCATTTTGGTTCTCTTTGCAGTATCTTTGTTTTAGTGTGCACGCAAAAGAAGAAAATCCGAGAATAATTGAGTTGGTGCATAAAACCGCCACAATAAAACTACACCACAAATTGTACATTGCAATGGAATGTTTTAATTACGTTGCATATTGAACAATTTAATCACAAAACGACCGAAATTACTAATGCATGATAGCGAAGGAAGAGAAGGCGACATAATTAAATTTCGTAAAATTGAACAAGTTGGGCCCAAATGCGGGTATATGGATTTTCGATGTCTTTGACCCTGACGCTAGCGACATCCATGTTGCTTGGATTCGCATGGTTTTTTTCTTCTCTTCTTCATTCGAATCGAGAGAGGAAAAAATAAAAATCAACTCCGTTTATAGTAGCGTATTGCCGATTTCACATTGCTGCAAGCAGTGGAATGACGGAAAGCCATCGATGAGCATGAGCGCATAACTCCATTTATTATGGCCATCACCATTCCTCAAATTACTTTAGATTTTATTACCTTGCTGCAGAGAGGAAAAAAAACTTCATTTTTCATTACAAACTAACTGAATCAATTTCCTACAGCGCGCGATTTGAAATTGCATCAAATGTAAAGCGAAATAAAGAAAAAAAAGTATGAGGAACGAATTAACAATCGATGTTAATTTTCACCAATTATATATCTGTATGTAGCTAATTCGAAAGTGATTTGCTTTGAAGAAAGAAAAAAAAAACTGAAAGTAAATTGCTGGCACTGTGAGCTCGAGCCGAGCACTGATATGAAACATGAACAAAACTCAGAGTGATTTGGTCGTGGTGTAATTGCACTTATTCGTTTGCACTCTCTCTCTCTCTCTCTCTCTCTCTCTCTATCTATCTACCTCTCGGATTCGTACGTTTCTCATTCGGGCCACCAAATCATATGGTGATGGTCTATGCGCGCGCGTTGTACGTACAACTGCTCATAAATTTAAAAAAAAACTGAGTGAGTCCGCTGTTGTTGTCGATTTGATTGGTACAGATTGTGTATTGTGTGCATTCGAGGATTTCTCATTTCGCTTTGCAATGCTATTCGCATGCTGTATGGATGTGTGCGCGAGCGCGTTCTAATGTAAACAAAACTCAGCTGATTTTTTTTTCTCTACTGCAGCTGCTGCTGCTGCTATGTTTTTAGCTCTCTGGCTGATATCTCGCCATTGTGTTTGAAGTACACAGGGAAACATGATTCAAAGTGCAATTTATAGATGCGCAATTATTGAATGTAATTCGAAGAGATGGTTAAATTTCTAAGTATTTATGTATGCTGTTTGCAAATTCAGAGTTCAAAAGAAACAAACTTGTGTTTCAATGGACGAATTTTGAGCCCGCGGCAATGAAATCTGAGCGAACAAGAAAAGAGATTGTGTGTTGTATAAAGGCAATGAACTGGTCAAGGAAAAGAAAATTTAAGCGAAATTCAAATAAATCGTCTGTGACAGCGAACAAAAACCGTTCATGAATTCAGCCTAATTTGAGTTTAGTCATAATTTTAATTGTAGACTAAATAACAAAATGCGTACAATTCGCATAAAAGGGATGGATGACTACGAAGAGAGGCAGAAAAGAAAATAAAGTCTATCACCACTATTGTAATACAACGCAGCGAGAGAAAGAGAGAGAGAGAGAGAGAGAGAGAGAGAGAGAGAGAGAGCGGTGTGTTACAATGCGAGATGGAACCAATTCGATATAGCGCACACGACAGAATGTAAGTGTGATTGTATGTTGTAAGCACATCAACACATCGTTTCGCTGGATTGTGAACAGCACGAGAGTACTGCACACACAAATACACAGAGACAGACACACAAACCAACGCGCATACTGACGAGACACCAGCACGCGTGTCGTAGTTGTGTCTTGTGTTCGAGAGAGTTTATTTTTATTTACTGTTTTCTATTTTTCCCTTGCCTCCGTTTCTTTCTATTTTTCTACAACATCTTTTTTGTCGTCGACGTTTATTAAGCGAAGAGAACAAAGGAATTGCGTTCCAAACGAAAACATATGCAGACTTTTACTCATGCTTTTTTCTGAGTTTGTTTGATGTTTTTATATTTGTTGGGCTTTTTTTCCCTTCAAAAGATAGGTTCTTTTTCCATGCACGTACAATGTGTATTTTTTATTAGAACATTTTTTGGGTTTATGAACTTTTAAGTACCTGTATGTGAGACTATGGTTTGTATGCATCCGTATGACTTTTTTTTTAATATTCAGTTTATCAGCTGCGAATGTTTTGAAAAGAAAGAGTGAATCGAGCTAATTTGCTGTGACAGCAAAATTCATTACAGAATCTCGGTGAAAAGTTGATAAAAGACATGTTTTTTTTCTCTTTTGCTTTTGTTTCTCAGAGCAAACTCAATTTAATGCGATCACAACAGTCACGCAGACAATGTCTAAGCTAAGAATAAACCAAGTCAGTGAATCAGCTGTGTGGATGGTGATCGGAAACCAAACGCACGAACATTTGTACCTTTTTTATTTTCTCAAACGGAGATGTTTGATGGAATTCACTTTTTCTTGTGTGTGTGTGTGTGTGTGTGTTGGCATGCTTACCTCTTACGTTTGCCACATTCCAGGACTTTTAACTTCTCCCATCCGTCGTCAGTCTTAACCCAAGCCTCACCAGGTGAACGCCAATCCTTCGAAATGAATGGCATTTTCGATTTACTAAATGATATCCGATTACGACGTGATCTAACTGCTGCAGTCGATTGATTGAAATCCTTAGTTTGATTGATTCTAGATTTTGTTTTGTGTTGTTGTTGTTGATGCTTATTCGAAAATCAAATGTTCACGATTTCTTCTGAGGGCTTAAATGAAATCACAAATAGTTCACGAAATCGATGCGTCACAACAATTATTTTTGTCAGCGAATAATCACAATTTCCAACAGCGGTTTGCGTTTTAGTACTTAAAAATTATATGCATGAAAATTTATCTAGCAACAAGATTGAACGCTTCAGTTTAGGTCACGGTAAAAAATGCAAAGTTCTTTTGTTGTTGTTTTTTTCTCTTTCTTTTCTCTTTCTCTGTTTCTGAATACAGTACGATGAAGAATTGTCAAATATTGTACAATCAAAAAAAAAAACCACTGAATCCAACAATTGTTTCGAAAGATGTGTGCTGTGTGGCAGTCGCAATTTGAGTCTACTTCGTTTTTCGTTTCTGTTTTGTCCGCGTTGCGATTTTTTTGCGATTTTATTTCGTTAGTCCGGCCAAAGTCAGTAAAATCAGCTTAGATTTAAATCAAACACAAACTATCGTTTAACATTGAATTGTGTGCCTTATTTTTTTCCTATCAAATTTGGTCACCAAAGCCCTGTACAATTTTCAGTCCTTGTTGTATTTTTTTTGTGCCGTTCTTTTTTTCGGTCGTCGTCTCAAACATTTTTCATTTAAGTTATATGAAATGAAGTTTCCTGAGTTGTGTTGTGTTTATATTCTGCGCGCTACTACACGAAACACCAAATCCACACAAAACGAAGTCACATCGAATACTGTGCAACACTCAATCGAAAAACATATGCAAGGCACACACAACACACGATATACAACAACACAGTTCATTCGAATAAGAATCCATCCAAATAGAAAGAAAGAAAGAAAAAAGACTGTGTGATTGTCAATGCGCAGCAGCAGCAGCTATTGCCTCGCTCATACAGACGAATGTGTAGTAGCGCGAGAGCAGAATGAAGCAACAATAAATAGTATGGAGCGAAAATGTTCGCATTCGTCGAACGAAAACACTGCAAGTTGTATGAAGACACACTCAAAACAACAACAAAACATACCAAAACACAAGTGGATTGGAGAGGTAAATAAATTCGGAATGGTTTGGCTATGTGTATGTGCATGTGTGCGGCGAACAAACGCGTGAAATGAATGTTGTCGACAGGCGTGCGAGTGTGTGTATGGGTCAATCGAGTGCACGATATACACGCGCTTCGAACGTACATGTTCACACCATTGCACATCGTGCGATAGAGACGGCACACAACTTGTCAAAAGCAACGGATCATTCATCAATTAACAGCTGTTTGAAATCGACAATTTTTCCGTTCAAAACAATTCGGTCCACGGTTCACATAAAATACGGCAATATCTCAATGTCTGGCCAACCTCTTTGGTGATGCAAATGAATTAAGTGGCAACTCAAGTAATTGATTTATCTACGCTTCAAACATGGCTTGTGCTCGACAAAGACAAAGCAACCGAAAATAGAGCGCAGATCAACAAATACACACATATTACAGCCGAAATAAAATCTCGGGGCAAAAAAAAAACTGAATCATTGTTTTGTTGCATGCGACTCTGTTTATTTTTATTTTATTTATTGGGACTTGATTCAACAATACAATCAACTTGATATCATAATTGCCTTACTAGACATAGTCTCGCAAAACAATCGCGATATTTGTAATTGCGCAGCGTTTTTTCAAAATTACGCCATATATCGGTGGATTCATTCATTTCATTTTTCGGCAATAATTATTAATAAATTTTAATTTGGCGACGTCTTGTGCCCAACTCTCGTGAGAGAGGATCAAAATTTGGGTTGGTTGTTCAATTTGTCCTGTTATCTGGAGATTAAATCATATTATTATTTAGATTTGAAAACAATATTATTTGCTTGAGACAACATACAAATTCATCAAGTGCTTTTTATTAGCACGGTTTGTCAAATACCTTTGAATAAACACCTGCTAAAATTGTTTTTTTTTTCAGAATCATTGTGTTTATTTGCAATTTCCACATTTTTCCTATCCGATTTCCATGAAATTTCTGTGTGAATTGAATCAAATTTAATTTGATTTTATTTCAAACTTTTGCGGCCACAATGCACCGTGAGATTAGTTATATTCAGCACCGCTAGGTGACAGATGACAAAAGTCATTGCATAATATCATCGAATCATTGAATTCTTTCAAAGTGAACTTAACCTCAAATCGGGCCATGAACAGAGTTTACTGTCAAAAGAAGCGAAGATTCATCATTCACACGAGAATTTCTAGTTGAAATTAAAATCTTCGCCGTACAAAGTTGGTTTTGTGTTTGATGCCATTTGGCGTTCGCAAAAGTATTGACAAATTTTCGAAATGCCCGGAACGGATAGCGCAAAACCAACGTTTAAAATAACGAATCCAAGCGACGGCCCAAAGTTGACAGCTGCACAAATTGCCTTTATGAAATTGACCGAAAAAGAGAATTTGAAGCGTTTACAAAAGCTTGAATTAATCCGCAAACGAAATTGGATCACCGGCTGGACGTTGGGTGCCTGTGTGCTTAGCATTTACGGTTATACAATTCTCACCGTCAAACAGGAGAGATTCTTGGATGATTTCAATGAACCAGAAAAAGTTGTGGTAGCGAAACCGGAATAAGCATTTTTGGTGGGTTTTCTTTTACATTTCTCATTCTGCCAATCATACTTTTCTAATGAATTCCATTTGTTTTTCAGTTTTTTTTTTAAATTTTCGCTAGATTTGAGTTTACCAAATAGAAAAAAAAATTGACTGAAAAAGAAGAATTTGCTGAGGATTATCTTGTATAATATCGTGGAAAAAATGGCATCAAGATTTGCACGATATAATGCGTTAATAATAAAACCGGGATCAGGTGCTCGATTACCGCCAATGCCAACACTTCGTGACATCATCAAAATATATAAACTAAAAGCATTGAAGCAGTTGTCACAAAATTTCCTAATGGATGAACGGTTGACGGCTCGAATTGTTCGAATGTGTGGTGAAGTGGCTAATCAGCATGTGCTTGAAGTTGGACCGGGTCCAGGCAGTATAACTCGATCAATATTGCGACGTGGACCCAAGCAGTTGGCTGTCGTTGAAAAAGATCGACGATTCATTCCAACAATGGAGCTGCTTGCGAATGCCGTTAAACCATCCGTTCAAATGGACATCTATCGTGATGACATCCTCAAATATCGCATTGAAAACACATTTCCGGAGGATATTCGATGCGATTGGAGTGGTACTAGGCCACCAGTACACATAATCGGTAATTTGCCATTTGCGATTTCAACGCGATTGCTGATTAATTGGTTAAAGGACATAAGTTTGCGGCAAGGGGCATGGATCTATGGTCGTACGACCATGGTGTTGACTTTTCAAAAGGAAGTGGGTGAACGGATAGTGGCTCCAATTTTGGATGATCAACGTTGTCGTTTATCGGTGATGTCACAAATTTGGACAAAACCAGAGCTACGTTTTATCATACCAGGAAAGGCATTTGTACCAAAACCAGATGTCGATGTGGCGGTCGTACGGCTCGAGCCGCTCAAAGAGCCATTAACCACATTGCCATTTGATTTGGTTGAGAAAATTATGCGCTATCTGTTTTCGATGCGTCAAAAGAAAATCCGTTTTGCCGTTAAAAATCTTTACCCAACCGAAATGTGTGATGAGCTGACCAATCGAACATTTGAACAAGCCGCCGTCAGTCCATTAGCTAAATGCTTCGAAATATCCAATGAGGAATGCTTACGCCTGGCCAATGCCTACAATGACATCATTACAGAATATCCAAACATTGCCAACTACAACTACCGAGCACCGCGTGTGAAACACTTTGACATCAGCACACTTCGGGATAGTGATATTTTTGATGACTTAAACGCTGATCCCATTAGCAATGATTCCGATGATTACACAAAATATTAACCAAAATGTAAAATATCTATCTACCGTCAGTACAGAAGACAACATTTATTTTTTAAACTGAAACTTCTGTTTTAGTCAATTTGGTAGGCTTGAATTTGTAGTTTAGAGATTTATTTGTAAACAATCAATGCTTAGTTTTAACAATGGAGAAAAAAAATGAATAAAATGATGAATAATCAACAATAAATATATCTGAATCTTCTATATATGTCAACAATGAGAATTAAGAGACTCCCCAGCGTTTCCATCAAGAGTGGCACCAATTTTCAAAGACCTAAGTTAAGAGGTTTTTTTGCACATTCAAATTCTCATTGCCCCATATCAATACTGTCTAAAGCCATGAATATCAAAGAATAACCCTATTTATCTACTTTTTAAACCTACGGATAATTTATCCAGACTTCTTCAGGATCAATAGACAAAACAAAGCACTTGAAAAACCCGAAAAAGTGGCCCAAGAAAAAGCATTCAACCAATTGAAATGCAGCATCCACTTATTAGATACAAAAATCAATCACTCAATTATTATTTCTGGTTATAAATAGCCTATTACGGTATCATTCGACCCTTGCAGTATTTTTCATTCGTTTTTTGTAGACGAACATAACTGAACTTAGCTTAAAAAATGTTCTTGGAGAGCGTTCTTAAAGATTGTTCTTGAAAATCGTTTATATCATCAGAATATTCGAAAAAAGGCATGCCTCATTGCTCGTTTAATAGATCAATGTTTCTATGGCAGCGTTTTCTTTTTAATTCTACAATGTGGACCGGAACGATACACATGTCTCCTTATTCATCAGATATTTTTTAATCAATTTTAAAGTTTCTGAAGTATTAAAAAGGAAAGTAGGGGAGAGTGGGGCAAACTCGGACACGGGGCAATTCCGGATACTGCGAATAAATTTATACTGGTTCAGTGTATCGAACCGTGGGAGGTCTCTATGAACGCGTCTTAATGAGATGCATTGACGACTTATGTCACCAAACGTATTTGACCAAGTCAGTATTGCATCATTGGTCGATAAGTGCAGATATGGTGTTTTTTTAGCGCCAATACTATTGCATATTTTCAAAAACCAAAAGTTCCATTTTGTAGCTAAAGGTTCAAGCTTCAAAATGGTATATAACATTTGGAAAAATAATAATGAATTCTAATGCACTAGTTTTGAATAGAGATCTGAAGTGTCCGGGATTGCCCCACTCTCCCCTAAGAGAAAACCGTTGCTTATGTGGTTTCACCAAGGAGATAAATATTAGACAATATGGTTGTTTTGAACTTTACACTACCAAATTAATCGTTAGTTCGATGATTTTTCTTGTTCCTGGAATATGGAAGTTTTCCATGTGTGGGAAAACGCATGGCCATCACCTTCACAAGATGTTGTGCATACTTTTAAAATTGTTACTAAATCAATTAGGTTTATCAAAGAGAAAGGGTTTTTTTCTTTTTCGATTGCCCATAAATAAAAGTGCAGCTCATTAAACCTAAATCATGGGCTTTTTTTGGACATCTCATGAGACGAGAGGTGATAACGATTTTTCGAGCTAGCAAAATATTTTAATGGCGTGAGTGTCTTCGGCGCGGGTGTAATCATGCAGTATTCATTCAGAGCTTGATGGAATTTATTTCGTCGCATGAATTTAAATTTTCGAGTATTGATCACCTCAATTGGTGTAGTCTGCAATTTAAGCGATTCAAACCCAAGTTATGGATTTCAAGCAATTCAAACCAAAATCTCAATTGCTCCACTCTGAAATACATTCTCCAAGAATTTTTCATTACTCTTATGCAACAAATCTAAGGTCTATTGTTCCAACGAATTGGCCGAAATTGTTTGAAAAAAATATATCATTGAATATATTCATGATAACTCACTGGGCACAAATGTCAAATGATACACAAAAATGTTGGTGTATAATATGCACCAGCATTTCGACACTTTTCAATATATGATATGTACCACTTTTGGTGCATAAATGGTGTACAAATTAGTGCATAGTATATACCAGTGGTGCCCAACATACACCAGTGATGTAAAGTGAAACAGTGAAAGGTTTTGATGCAAAATATAAGCAATTTTGCAATGATATTTTATTCAATGCTCCGAAAAAAAAAATCGGTATATGATATAAACTGGTGGTATAAAATTTTTCACAAGTTTGCACAAGAATTGTTGTGAAAAAAGTAGAAGTATTTAAAACAGAAATGATGGAAAATAATAAGAGATAAAATGGATTTCATGTGTGTACAATAGGGTGTTTTTCATAACCTGAAAAAGAAAAATGGTAGATTTTAAATTAAAGAGGAAAAAATTCTGTATCAATTAGTGGTGTTCACACAACGGAGCAATCGATATTCACACCTCCCGAAGCAAAAAGACTGCTTTTCCATTCAAATGTCTAAATAACTCTCGCTCCGAAGCGTTGAACAAATTCTACTTACCGTGATATGATGCATTGAACAAGTCATATCCAAAGAATGCGGCGACATTGTCAAACCGGAAAATGAACACGACTCATTCTGATCATCAAATAACGTCTATAAAACCACTCATGTACTGCGGTAAATAAAGTTAGACACCTTATAAACCTTAAAATAGCCCACTAAGTGCAAGGCTTGAGAACTCTAATAAACTGTTAGAAAATATTTGTTAAAAAAAAATTTAATGCTAAACGCTGGATTTTGATTTATGGATTGAGTGGAACGTCGTCGTCATCTGGTCGTCGCAGCAATGCTGGATGTATCGGAATGTCAAGCAGCGTGCAAAGACCTAAGTAAATAGAAAACAAGCACACAAATAACAATTAATTTAAGCGAAAATCAAATCGATTCCAATTTTCAAATGAAATAATAATAGATAATGAACCTTTGTACATGATCAGTTTGGCTGCTGATATGTCCCGATGCCAAAGTGATTTGAGCAACTTGCGTGATTGTGCAGCGTCTTCTGTTCCAGCGTTTTCAGCAGCATTTGGTTGCCAGGTTTTGAAGAAGCGTTGCTTCTTTGACACCAAACGTCCTGAATTTCGTTGGGTTAGAATGGCTGCAATAGCATCACCTTGGTCGCGCATTTCCTCCCATGTACGCATGATTTTCCGTTGCATTTGTAACACTCGTTTGCTCACGTTCGTATAGATGGTTCTCGGAAGTCCAACACGTTCATCTGGATGGCAATCGTTGCACTTCTTGTATCGTTTGCTCTTCGTCCATATCGGGAACCGTTTGAAGCATCGGGCACAATGTTGCGATGTCATGTATTCATCCACCAACCGAACGACACAATTGCCACGTCTTTTGAAGGCTGCAATCAGCTTGCGAACGCCTGGACACCGCACGTACTTTTTGATTCGGATCGGGCAATTTGGTGAAATTTCGGCTGATGTTGATGATAGCTGTCTTGAAATGTACCAGCTTACCGGCGATGAGATCAATTGCACGATGCCATTCAATGTGTTTTTCCAAACGTAAGCGTGCATGGTTTTTCTGACTGTATGCCGCGATACCATCTTGGGACATTCGCAGGCGATGTTCGATGTAATGGCGCCAAGAGATGTTCCGTGGCGATGGTGTCTGGCCAATCTCTGCGGCGATACGTTTGAAGTCCGCTTGTTCGTCATACGTGAAGACTCGTGTCATTCGTTCGGCTTTAATGTTGCGCGCATCTTGTTTCGATTTCAGATGGTATTGTTTGAACGAAATCTTCTCGTTGGTCTAAAAATAAAATGCAACAAAAGTGAATTAATACTTCTTCTTCTTCTTCCTTTTTTCGTTTTGTAAATACTTACCTCTTCGCCGGTCTTTAGATCGAGGCGGACCGACGCAATAAAGGTTCGCATGCCTGGATCAATTCCCAATGCATACGCGAATTCGCCTGCGAAATATTTTCGTTTGGTTTCGGCCTCATCTTCATCAGCAACAGTTTTGCTCTGTTTCGGCAATTTGAATAACACCGACGCTGACACACCATCTGATATTATCGAATCGCCGAATCCCTTCTTATTCTTGACTAACTTGATAATTTCATCCATGTTGAAAAACAAACGCCAGCCTCCTCTCTCCTTGAATTCAGTCTGTGAGATCCAGCGCTGTTGGTATTCGCCGTTTCGTAAGACTCGAGTGCCTTTTGTCCGCGGCATTGCCTTGATGCCACATAAAATATTGTGCAATGCATCCGTATCAATTTTCACGTGTCGGCGCTGGAATGTGCACTTCGGATTTACTGTGAAGGTGGTGATTTCAGGCGGCTCTGGGAATTCTGGCTGTTGCACATAGAGCGGATATTTTCGGAACAGATTCCAACTTTGGCGTAGATTGGCAAACGAGAGGTGAAAGTTATGAATATCACGCTGTATATTCATGAACATGCGCAATGCTTGGAACCAATTGAGTTCAACGAATTCTCTGATGTTGAATGGGTGTGGATCATCTGGTCTGTGAGGTGCTCCTATCCAATACATCTCCGCCAACAGTATTTCCAATTTCCGTATGGCATTCGCATTGCCACACGTTGAATCTCTCCTTTTGTATGTGTAGTTGATGGCATTTTTGATGTCGTCACCATCGAATAATTCGTCCAACTCGAGATCTCCACACAGACACATGTGGTTCAATTCGTAGCAACGCATTTTGAAGAACTTTCTCAAACGCTTTTCGCAATGCGTTTTGAGGTTGGTCTTGACGTTTGTGGCATATTGCTCGTACAGGTATTTGAATGTGTTGCCGAAAAATCTGTTCGTTGGCCACGGAAACCATTCGCCGAGAATTTTGATAACAATTTGCCGGAAACCTGGGACTATAAACATTCGATCATTGGTGTAATTTTGCCGGAGCACACCTTGGAAGCACATTTTGATGATTTCATCACCATTGCTGTTGAAAAAGTCGTTGTCGAAATCATCGACCGCCGTATTAACCTAACAAGAACAATGGTTTTTTTTGTTCAATTTGAATGAATCGAATCGGTTCAAGATGATCGTACAAAATGGCGAAAACAGTGAAAATATAAAAAAAAACTTACTAGATATAGAAAATAGAGCGATGCCAGAAGTGAGATTAGCGTTGCCATCATGCTCATTTCCCAAATCACTGTTGTCAAAATCAGCCGATACGGTTTCTGGATGATTGTTCGTAGAGCCAGTTTCACTGTTGTGAATCTCTCATCGCTTCCACCGCGAGATCCACGGGCTCCACGGGCCATGATGAATAGCTTTTAAACAAAAAAAAAATTGAACAAATTCATGAGAAATTGATTAGATGATTGAGATTCACAAAAAAGAGCAAATTTCATCATATTATATGTTCATTTTTTTAGGCAGGTCGTAATTTGTTCGACATTTAAACAATTGGATTGATTGTTTTCGGAACACAAATCGCAAGCACGGTAAAATGTTAGCCACTTTGTGTACAATCACCACCAAACGAAAAATCAAAATGAGGAAAACTAATTCGATATCATGTATTTTCTACCTAAAAACACTAACTAAATTACTTAATTTGAACAAAAAACGAATAAAACAATCACTGTAAATCGAACAATATTCACAACAATCAACTTGCCTTTTCAAATGCTCAGATCGATATGAATCAACCGGCCCCCGTTTGACAGCTGAATATGGTTTTGACATAAATACCGTACCGCAACAACTCTACTCATTTCGTGATGAAATTCATGTTTAATCGGTTCCGATATAGAAACTCAATACATGCTCGGATAACGGGATCAAATAAACAAACGCAACAAACATAACAAATGAGTCTGTTGTGTTGTGTTGCGTTGTATGCGATGAAAGAGAAGTTCGTGCCAAAATCACGCTCCTAATGTGAAACACATACACAAATCGAAGTTCTTGTTAGAAGTTTGTTTATACGGTTCGTTCGGCACATAGTAGTTGGAATGGTTGTCATTTCAAATGTTTGAATTTGGCAGATGCTGGGTAGCGTTCCGAAAACATTAGACAATTCAAATTAGACAGTTCTTTTTGCTTCGGGAAGTGTGTATATCATTCGTTATAATAAATGTTTGCATTGAGAACTCGTCTCTGGCAGTGAGATTGAATCGAAAAAATGGAAAATATCAGATTAGTTTCAGCGAATAGTGATATAACCTCAAAATTCTATGATTTTCTGTTTTGATCTCGGGAAGTGGCATCTTTGATTATTTTAAAGTAAAAATACATGCAATCGATTCAGAATTGTTCACTCTTTCAATCCAGAACTACCATTTCTTGATTATTTGATGGCAAAAACACCCTAGTGTACAAGAGCAAAAGCATGAACAAATGAATGATTTGGAGCGAAAATGTAATACAGAAAAGTTGAGCGGAAAAATGTCAAATGAAAAGGGATAGCTATATAGTTCACTATAGTTTACTATACAGTTTATTATATAGCTATCCCTTTTCCGCTCATTCATCATCGACATTTTTCCGCTCAACTTTTCTGCGTTACATTTTCGCTCCAAACCATTCAAATTATGTTTTGTCGAACGAATTTCAATTTTACCCCCTCAAAAAATTACGCGCCGTGAAGATAAAGCATATTATTTATAATTTTGAAAAAATAGGGGGAGGTGGGATAATTCGGAACGTGGGGAAATTCGAAACACCGCCAAATTTTGCCGCAAATGAATAGTTTGAGACATGTGAACAACTGTCATGCAAATTTAATATTGAGAATGCCTTTCTGCATTGATTTCATAACATTTTTCGAAGAATCAACTCTGATGAATATGTTTATAATTATCGTATATATTCGGTGGATTGAAAAGTCGGGTACTTTTTGAATGAAATCAATCAATGCAAAATTTCATTTCTATTCTCAATATAGGCTCCTTTTAGCTCGCCCAACGATCTTCCAACATTTGGATGTCCTTCAAAAAGTACGATTTCTCTTTCAGCCCAAGGTACAGAGTTTGACTCAGGCGACAGATATATGCTTTAGCATAGAAAAAATATCCGCATATTTTTTGGTTTGTCCACTCTCAGCATATAACGGCACCCAGCTTCATCGAGTATCAGCACGCACACTGAACGTAGTAATATAGATTATAGAACGGTTTGTTTACAAAGGAAAAAAATTGTTTATAAACAAAATCTTCCAGAGTTGTACAGCGGAATGTATTTAAACGGCAGCAATGCTGTCCTATGTTAAGGTTTTGCGCTGTATAGTTCTGGTAGATTTTGTTTATAAACAATTTTTTTCTTCGTAAACAAACCGTCCTATACTACCACGTTCAGTGTGCATGCTGATACTCGATGAAGCTGGGTGCCGTTACATACTGAGAGTGGACAAACCAAAAAATATGCGGATATTTTTTCTATGCTAAAGCATATATCTGTCGCCTGAGTCAAACTCTGCCAAGGTATTCTAAATTTCTCCATTTTACTCCCAATCATAGCAAACGCTCGCGTCCTTAGACCTTACAATTAAGTTTAGATGACTTGTGAGTTAAGAGTGAGACAATGCCTAAAAAATGCAGTATGCAATGCGGCAATTTATAGCTTTAATCAATGGATTTTACCACCATAAAACCAATATGTGAACTGAATGAAAATCGTGGTTAAAATGTGTATTTTCTTCTTTGAACTTTTACCCATTTGACTATGATTTTCTATTCCGATCAATCTGAAAATGACAAGATATGTTCTCCTAATATCACTTTTAACCCATTTTCTACCAGCGTTCGATTTTTCGAACAAAGGCCTACCCTATTCATATCTCAACCTAGAGATAGGCAAAAATACTAAGGGCTTCTATGTCGGTTTGGCATTCGAATTTTCATTCACAAATTCGCGTTCAGTGCCATGCATTCGCAACGCTGCCATATGATTTTTATGTAAACATTCGCACTCGCATTCGTATAGCAGTCGTATTTCGCTGTTCTCGAACATTCTCACGAATACGAGTGCGTGTGTTTACATAGAAATCATACGGCAGCGTTGCGAATGCATGCACACGAATGAACGAATGAATTATGTAGTCACAAGTTCGCTGTCATAGCCGCATTCGTCGCATTCGCAAACATTCGAATTTTTGTTCTGTAATGCGAATGCATTCGCAGCATTCGCGAGAGATAAATCCCCTTAGCAAAAATAACATACATATACTCAAAAAGCAAGGGTTGAATATTATTCTTAAAAAGGTGTAGCCTATGTTCAGGAGGTACTTAAGGAAGCCCAGGGTGGATTTGGAGATAATAAAGAATCCCGGACTAATGACCAATGTTCGAAAAATCGAACAAAAATTTTCCGGGGCGTTTCTGGAAAACTACAAGACGAATTTTCCATCTGACATTTTTTTTCATTTCTTCATGTCAAAATAACTCTAAATAGGCTTATAGTTATTATTCTTAAATGAAGCATAACGGTTTTTGATTGATCAGTTTGTGAGCCTACAAAAATATGATTTTCCAGAAAATCCATTTTCCGGAAAAACTGCAAACACAATTTTTCCATATGACAGTTTTTTCTGGGCTTCCAGGTGAAAATTATGCTAGATAGACTATTGGTTACTTATTTCGAACCCACTTTTGCACCTTGGTAGAAAATGGATTAATATTTCTGTATAGTTATGCCCATTAATATTTTCATATCCCAAATGGTCATTGTCCAAATCTTCTGAGTCGTTTTTCGATTTGGTGGCCTTACAGCATTTGAACAATGTCTACTCACGGTTTTGACTATATTATGGGTTTAAAATACATCAAGTTCTATATGTAGTCGCAAAAAGTACAGATAAATCCCGTGTATCATCTCCACTTGTATTGTTTTTTACATTGAAGGGCGTTGCACGCACCTTAACATTCACAATACAAACTCAATGCGAGTGGACACGCCTTATGAAAAATGGCACAGATTGCTAGTGCTAAGGTTTATCTGTACTTTGTTTATTTTTTGCGTATATTGCTCCAAATATCACCACGAATTTTGAACTTTTTGTACTTCATTCCTTATTCCTTTTTTCGTTTGACTTTTCCGTATGTGAATGTGGATACATATTTGCAACTATTATTTCGTTTAGTAGGCCCATGGTTTTAGCAATCTTGCGCACTATCACATTAGGATCATATGATATCATGTCATTGATTTATTTGATGATTTCTTGGACAAGGTCGATTTTTTAGCACTTCGGAGGTTTATCGATGAAATTGCTCGTAGGACTATGTTTAAATTGAATTTTTCTACATTAATTAATTTTTCCCTATAACATTGTTTTCGATTGTTCAGAGACACCAAAAACTAAATCCAATTTGAATTTGATGCACCTATCTGTTTTGATTTAAAAGCGCAGGTGCGTAATCAAGAAAAAAAAATTAATTTTTCCCTATTAAAAAAATTTCCGGAGGCTTGTTACTACCAGGAGCTATAACTTGCGAACTAATGATCGGATTTGGCTCAAATTTTGACAGCTGTCCCATAAAGGATGGTGCTTGTCAAAAAACATATGGATTTGAAATTCGTATCGCCCTTTCATAGAAAAAGTACCTGACTCTAGGGGGTAGACACGAAATAATACAAGAAGAAAACTAGCAAAAATTGAGAATACTAGAAGTTAGTAGAAGAATATTTGTGAAAAAATTGAGTGATGCCTCTTCCATAAGAATAGCATTGCCAGTGGTTTTTATATGGACAAATTCTTCCATTTAAAATATACTGCCAATGCTTTGCTTATGGAGTTCAAATGTTTTGTTTACAAAAAGTACCGTTAATCCTTCAATAGGAAATGCATTGGAAATACTATACTTATGGAAGAAGCAATGGTAGATACTAGCAATTCTAGCAGAATATTTGCGTTTCTGCTTGTATACTAGAAAAACTAGACGAAACTAAACGCATATTTGAATCGATTTGAACAAACTAGCTATACTAGAAATTGGTGTCTAACCCCTAGACCTGACTTATCAATCCACCTAGTGCCATTAATATTTCGACTCACAAAAGGAATTTTGCATAAAAATTCATTGAGTGACTGAAACACGATTATGTTGTAAACCTAAGTGAGTGGGAAATTTCGGAACGCCCTATATACGAAAAATTGATCAAGTGATTTTTAATACTTTTCAAGCTGATATCGCTTTTTTATGCATATTTATTATATTTCATGCAAAATTTCAACAAATTACTCATTGCAATTTATGTGATCGAGCTGTCTACTTGAAATGCACCAAAATGATTGGTAGCTATTTCACAGGCAACAATTACAAATCCGACAATCGCTATTTTTGAACTTTTTCCCCATTAAAATTAATTCTTCTGTCATTTCCTAGTTCCCCATAAACGTTTTGCATCAAAATTGTTCAAGTTTTCTATCCATTTATGAAGTGTTCCGAATTTCCCCACCATTTTTGAAAGTCGCAAAATCAAGAGTTTTCTGCTAAAAGCTAAGTACACAGTTCCTCGTGAAATGAAAAAATTTCTCCGGTGAAATTTTCACAGGTGATATTTGTATGGTGTTTTTTATTTTTGAATTGCAAGCATAATGATTTTTGATGTATAAAACAGCTAACTCAATCCAATATCAACACGACACATGAACAAATTTTTTCATGAAGAATTTCAAAATACATTAAAGAATAAATTCAAAATTCAATCATGTGTTGTGTTGATATTGGAATGAGTTAGCTGTTTTATACATCAAAAATCATTATGCTTGCAATTCGAAAATAAAAAACAACAATACAAATAACACCTGTGAAAATTTCACCGGAGAATTTTTTTCATTTCATGAGGAACTGTGTACTTAGCTAAAAGGGTAAATTTTTTCGACCGATTCGAATTCAACAAGCGACAAGGTCCAAAATTTAGGTTTTTACATTTACTGAGTCGTACCACTTTAGAATTTGGAAAAATGTTATTAAATTATTTCGATGTGTGTTCCGAATTTCCACACCTCCCCCTACTATTTTTTCTATTTTCAAATCAAAGCAAAATATCAAAAATAATGTCTTAAAATGAACCAGGACATGAAAAATAGTGGAAAAAATATATCATGAAATAATGGTTTCACCTGGAAATAATGCTGAAAATATCAATATTTGTTCTTGCCACTGTTAGTCATTTGCGATGGCGTCAACCATACCTTCTTATGAGAAAATATGAATGGCGAATTGTTCATTCCATCAATCCGATAAAATTTTTGTTTCTCTTAAAATTTTTGTTTCTTACACTTCAATCAAATTCGTTCGAACGAAAATCTATAAATACACATTAATCCGATCGTTACAGACAACCTTTCGTTGCAATTCGCAGGATTAAAATGTGAAATTGACTCTCTTTACCTCTCAGTGGATGCCTATTGAGACGATTTTCGTATTGGCTACTGTTTATTTGTATCATTATAATTCTGTTTTGCCATAGTCGCCGTCATCAATCTGATGTAAATTGCAATCGATTGCGTTAAACGTTCCTTATGTCGCGTCACATACATAAATTCATGTAACTGACTGGAATCTAGGTGTTTTTCCACTGAATGTGAATTAGCTGTAAAAGTTTTTAGCGAATGCCATTTAAATTTGATTGAGATGATTGAGGAAAAGTGTGAAAATAGCTCCTGCTGACGTAAATTCTTTGGGACCGTTTTCGATTTTAAAAAAAATGTGGTGACTGATGCATTTTTCAAAAAATGTTATCAAGGTAAGTTTGTTAGACACACCTTCAGAAGCACATCATAATCATAGTCATAGTCATAGTCATAGTCATAGTCATAGTCATAGTCATATTCAAATGAAAATAACGTAATTAGAAATTAGAAGTCTCAGGTTTCAGCAAACATCCGTTCAGTGTACAACGAAATCATACATAGGAAAGTTTCATTCGCGATAATGTGATAAAAAGGTCAATTTTTGCTACTGTGCCACACAAACGCAATCGACGAAAGTATGCGAAAATGCAACGGTACGATTGTAAATCGGTTGGTTTCAAATGAACATGATAATAATCATACGAGTTCATTACGTACTTTCCAATACAAACCATCAATTGATAGAGATAGCAGCTATGTCTCCTCTCAATAATTTCTGATATGTTGCAGTGAGCATGAAATCAGTTCAATATGCTGAATTTTCAATAGCAAAAAATTGTAATAATATGTTAACTCATAGTTCATAATTGTCCAGAAAATAATTAACGAGTCAATAGCATATGCAAGAGACATATTTTTCCAGACAAGTCTGGCGGATGATAAGAAATGGCATTAAAATCCGTTACAAGCGGGTTTTACTGTCGTAACTAAAAATAATAGTTGATAATCAGTGTTTGAAACATTCTTTAGACGAACGAGACTGTGATTGTACGACAAAATATTTGTTGTTGTGAAAAAAATGGATTTAATCACGTGTTTGGTTCAAAGACACGTCGGTTTTTTGTTCACTTAAATATGAACTGATCGCAAAATATTTGTGCAAAAATGATTACAATTTGTTTAATGAGATTAGAAATCGCGTGAAATTAAAGTGTGGAGAGGGAACATGGCGCTGATTCCGAAGTGAGATTTCTGACGCTTTGACAGAGTTTTAGCCCAATTTACACCAAACTCGTGCCATCATTTTAATGACTGTCATTTTCGTACCACGTAGAACAACCATAAATAGAGAGCAGATTGTGTAATATCACGAAAAACTCCCGAATATGCGAATATGGTCGATTTTTTTCTATTTAAAATTTTTGGTAATTTTACACGCATGCAAATACAATTATTGTCCTCATGTTGCGCCTAATTTCTCATTATTGTGGCTTTAATTTGGTTATTTATATTACTTAATGCGTGGTATTGAAGTTGCTAATTATGTTCAAGTTGTTTGCCACCCTCTGCATTCAATTTATTTGATTTTGCTGTCAAGGTGTTACAGCCATCGGTACACGCACAAATATTCCGGTCTGCAGTGATTACTTAACCCATTCACCGCTGACAATTTTTTTTTCTCTTATTTTGAGAGCGGAGAATTCACTGAAAAATGATCAAATTTATGATATGAAATGAAAGGCGACCGTCAAAGGTGATTATCGAAAAATTTGTGCACTTTTTCCACTGAAGCCATACGGCATCAACACGACAAAAGGGTTAATTCATATGTTCTTATCTTCTGTTGAATTGCCATTCAAATTGCGTTGATTTCGTCTAATCAAATGTAACGCCAATCCATTTGGCATTAGGCAATCGAATTCATAGCAGCACGTGCTATCGTAAATCAAATACTATTGACTTTATTCCGTCGTTTCAATTGTATTTTGGGTCATGAGTAATTATTCAAATAAATTAAAACATCCACCAAATCATAAACAAACATATCTCACATAGTTACACCAGTAGTAAGGCTTCTTTCCGCTGCTGATATACCTATATGATGCAACATTCAAATTATTTTCACTTCAAACCGAAATCATGACGCGATAAAGAAATGATTCAGAGCTCAAAATCTCATTCAATTCCGACAAATCGATCACAATACTCAGGCAATGCGTTTACGTTTTTCTCTATCGATTGGGCAGCAATTCATTGATAACAAATGCCATAGATTGAATGAATCTCGTGCAACGAGCAATTAAACGAAAAGGCACGAAAAATGCGTCGAAATTTCCGTTGTTCCATTCATTACTGCATGAATCAATTGAGATTTATGTTTTATTTCATAAATCCATATATTTACATATACGCAAAGAAATATCTACATAGAATGCTAAAGCTATACGGTGGCAACGGTAACTGCAGAAAATCTAACAGGAAAAAACAGCATTATTCCAAAATAAAACCGTTGCTCGTTCTCATTTTTGCCGCCCAATATCCACATCCATCATGTGAACCGAGCGCATACATTTACGAGCTCCTGCTGCTGCTGCTGCTGCTGCTGTTACTGTATTTTTGCAAAGAGAAAAGTGCGCGGCGCGCGCGAATTCTCGGCTTCCAACCCAACAACGTACATACGCACGATACAACTGTTGCGTTTCTCGGCTCCTTGCTTATCTCACTCTCGTTTGTGCTTGTGATAGGAGAGAACGAGCCCCGTACCAATTTGATTGCGAATAAAAAGATTGAGTAAATGGAGGCGAGCAACATTTTAGTTGGAAATCTCATCGAAGGAGTATCACAACCGAATCCTAAATTCATTCCGATTCTCGTCAATTCGTGTTCGCGTCATACGTAATTTGTTGCACCCATCCGTTTAAATCGTTGCATCATTACGCAATTCAAATTATTTGCAAAGAAAAAAAAATTGGAAAAAAAGAAAGCGAGAATATTCGATAGAAAGTGTGTGGATGAACGCATCTAACTACATATTCTAGATTTTCAATTCTGTTTGATTTAAATTACACTAGTGTGCTGATCACATTCATAAATTATTGTGAATAAAAAGGAATTATTTGCTGAGAATTGCCGATTCATTAGAAATATCATCAACAAGTGTCGTACGTGAACAGAGATCGCTGTTGGTTTTAAGCACCACATTTATCTATATGCACGTGATTCAATTGTTTTCGAAGTGTCCAATTTTAAACTGAATTTTTTGTGAGAATTTTCGTTCGAAATCTAACGGAATTTTATACACACCGATTAGGTAGATCCAACTTCTATTTTGCACTAGAGGTAGGTACATATTCAATTGCACGCTTTAAGTTAGTTGTTAACATTTAAATTGACATTCAATTGAATTAAAAAAAAAAGTTGATCGAAATTATTGGTCATTTGAAGACAAATTTGTAGATCAGCAACATTTACCAGTTAGTATACGAAATTTATTCGCAAAAGATATATTAATAACGGTTCCAGAACCATTTTGAATTAAGAATAAAAATGTAACGTAAAAATGTTATATTTTATGCATTCGATGTGATACTTGTTTTCCTGCTCAATGATAATTTACGTCCAAAATTTCCAGTTACTAAAATCCCACACAAACTCGTGTTCACCAAAATAATCGCTAACAATACACTTAACTGAGGCTTTTGCAATTGTTGGCTGTTTTCAATTCTGTTTTTTTTTTCGTTTCTCCAAGCAATTTTATTAAATTACATAAATGTTCATCGAATTTTACGTCAAATGGGATTTAATTATTTTGCCACTTCATCACATCAAAAGATAACGTTGGCACTGCTCTGTGCTCTTTCCTTCATTTTCCATTGAAATTCGATAGGATTGCCACACATGTGAACAAATTTTCGTGTAGATTTTTTCTCTCCTCCAATAAGTCGGTAAAACGGCAGTCTTTGATCAAATAATACGAATCATGTAGAAAAATGAATCGACGAACTTGAGAAAGTTCACATATCACATATAATTTTATATTGTTCACGCCTAGCTGATTCGTTGGAGCGACAAATAAAAAACCAAATCTCTTAAAATGCTTTAATAATAAATGCAAACGGAAAAAAAATTGTCGCATGTGTAAATTTGAATTACAACCATTGTGGGGTGAATGAAAAAGAGAATCTATTCAGAATAATATGCATTCACACACTGGTTAGCGAAAATGTTCCGATATACAGGTGCTCAGCACGAATCGCAAAATATAACGAGAAAAAAAATCTTATCGATAACTCAAAGGATTATCCAATATTATTTATTTTATTTTATTTCGGAACCAGACGTCATTGAAATTACTGAAAATTCCGTCATACAGAAGATTTTTTCTTCTCAAAAAGTGTTTGAGAACAAACTAAAACGGCCAAATATATTTGTCTACATTCCTATTTGCAATCATCCATCCGGCAAGTGTGTTAATTGGTAAATTCATTGATGTCATATGCGTTACATACTGTCTATCGCCTCCAGGATCATGTATCTACGGACAATAGGTAATAACGAGCATGCATCTAAATATTGCTTATTGGCCAAACCAGATGTTGCTCAAATATAAATAATAAATAGTTCAACTTCAAGTACCAGTAATATGGAGAACAAAATTCTAAAATGAAATCCACAAAAAAATTCCAAAATTTAAATGCGCACATGATTCATAACCAATTAATTCAAGCCCAATACGAAACTCTATGAAATTAGACCGGCGAAGTTTCAAGCAGGATTTGTTATGCGCCAAATACATCATGCTGAATAAATTCATGCGATAGATTTATGCGATAAATGTGATGCGCTCGCTTTACGGTGAACGAGGTCTGTTGCTCTTCACTACCGCTTAGCGATGCGTTCACTGCAAAGCATGAACGTTCATGCGTGAACAAGTGAAGAGCAACAGACTTCGTTCACCGCAAAGCGAGCGCATCAAAATCTATCGCATGAATTTATTCAGCGTGATGGATTTAGCGCATAACAAAGCCTGGTTTCAAGTGAAAAATTATTTTGATTCAAACGGTTCATGAAAAGTATTCTGGGATAGTTCTTGGAAATATAAAATGAAAATACATCCAACTAGCCCACGTCCGATGCACCAAAAATCTCCAGACATTTATTTTGTTCGGAAGGTGGGGAGCGTTTTTTATGCGTTGAGGCACCAAATTGTTTTTCCCAGAGTTTTCGATCTATTCTCGTGAGCGTACGTGAAATCATAAAACTGATTGTGCAAAAGTGATGCATAACTAATTTTAATCGTTCAATTAAAGAAACCCAACAATAGCTTGACTACTATGTTCATCGTCCATTACTTTGGCTTCATTTCGAGTCATAGGATACACACAACTTGTTATTCGCATCTTTTTTGTGAGTTTTTTTTTTTGATAGTGATGAACTTTTTCCCATTTTGAATTATTTGCCAATTGTAGCGCGTAATCTCATTTGGTGGAAATATTTGTTTAAGGAAATTATTCGGGGGAATTTTGCCGGAAACACCGGAAGGAATCTTCACTCGGTCGGTTTGTTCCAACAAAATTTGTGACAATTAATGTCATCCAACTTTCCCATCGCAATAACATCCTTAGAACCGCACATAAAATTGGCAAAAAATTTCAAGCAAACAGAAAAAAATTACCGAACGAAACAAACCAAACTTCCGTTTTCGTGGACACTGTGAATTGCAGGAGCATAAATTCTAGAACTAAGTAAATGCTTCCCACAGAAAAACACGGCCAATATTTCGACGAGGTGGATATATGTACACGATTTATGCCGACGGGTCAATTTAAGTTCAAGCTGGTTTTCCTCATTTATCATCGATACGATGATAACGACGATGCTCGAAGAAAAATACACGAGCAAACAATCTGGGGTAAATCTGGAAGGAAGACCATGAAAAAAGAAAAGAGAAATTAATAACAGAAAAACTTGCAGAACACCGACGTCGTGTAAGTCGATAAAGCGATAATTCTTATTGCAAAACTTTACTTAAAGGTGACTACTCGTGTGATTTGATGATACTCTAAGGGAATTCGGTCTGGCTGATGCACATTTGGCTGTTGTTCTTTCTGTGTATGATATGTAGCTAACGGTGTGTGATTTCTTTCAACGCAAAGTTCACTATAGTTTTCATCAACATTCAAAGTTTCGAAAAAGAGAATAAAATACACGGTTGTCCACCTTAACCCATTCCCTGCGATGAGGTTTTTTTTCGAATTTTCGGCCCAAAATTCAAAGAGATACGACATTTTTTTAAAACGCTCCTTTTTTTGACAAAATTGATGAAAATTGTATAATATGATGTCATCAATACTGAACATTAGAATTTTTTTCACTAAAAACCTGTCCACTTACTTAGATGATTTGTGGTGTATGTTGCCCCTGGTGAATGAATGGAACAAAACAATCTAAATCTATTTTTATATCAATGAACACATGATGTGTCTGCTATTTAGCCCAAAATATCTATTGTGACTTGGACCATTTGAAAACTTTCTGGGCCGTTTGAAACTATATTCGTCCGATCATCAAATTCACTTAAGTGAAACCTTTCAATGGATCGCGTACACAACAAATGTGACGGCATGTATGCCGTATTACATACGGATTATGAATGAAACGGCTATTGTTTTTTCCAATGGGTGGAGTGCGAATTTATTGTCGAAAATGACGTGGATTGGAATGATATGATGATAATCTATGTCTTCGTAGTAGAGCTGCCCATTGAACTGAACTGTTTGTGTTCGTTCGAGCTCGTTCGAGAGTTCAGAACATAAATTGGACTTTTGCATGAATTAAAAAATTGAACTGAACACCGAACGAACATGAACAAGGGATATTCTTTTTCGGAAACTCTGGACCGAACGTGAACGAACTCGAACACAGATATGAATTTTGAAGATTGTTCAATTCAATTGAACCCTGATATGAACTGATACAAATGTGGTTTGAATTGTTTTATTTTGAAAATTCCTTATGTTCAGTTCAATTGAAGTAGCGTATGAACGAATTTCAAACGAACTTGAACTGAACTTGGACATCGTCCAAAACATTGAACATGAACTCGAACGAACATGAAATGATTTTCCCATTGATACAAACAATTGAACTGAACACCGAACTGACACGAACACGAAATTTACAAAACAAATTCGAACTGAACTGTTCGTGTTCAGTTCATGGGCAGCTCTACATCGTAGCAAAAATAGAGTTCGAACTTCGAATCGTCAAATCGATTCTTTCGGTTGCAAGTGGAAAGATATCAGCCTTATCCTCAAACGTAAACACATCCAATGCGACCGTTAGGTGTTTGTGTGGTGGGTCATAAGTCGATTGAAAATATCTGTGTAAGTCATGAAGCGAATTGTCATAATAAACACATATTGGCTATGATTTGTCGCATTTCGAGCTGGACGTGCATCAGTAGCAACACATCGGCATTGCTTCAGTACTAACAATCGAAATGTTGGATAAAATCTGAATGACGGTACACACATACACGCAAATAAAATAAAGGGGGAATATTAGCAAATAAACCATACGTAAAAAAAACAATAATAATAATATCTATCTAATTTGTAGAGAAAATGGCTTGTTTCTACCCTCTTAAATGGGTCTTTGGTGTGCCGTCTTCTGGTGGTTAGTGATGTCCATTTGCTTGTTTATTATTTGATTTTTTTCTCTACCTCCCCCAAAAATGGCCTTCTTGTTAGTACTGGATATACTTGTTTTGTGCTGTGATTTACTTTACTGGTCTATATTTGATTTGTACGTGGCAACCGCAAATATCATCATCATCATCATCATCCACATTGTCATCGTGGGAAATTGAGCGAGTATTCCATCATTAAATGTATATGATTGCTTAAAACATACGTTCTTCCATGTTGATTGTTGAATTCTTTCTTGTTTTTTTTTTGTCCGATACAATAAAGTCGCCCTCTTTTTTTTCTCACACTCAGTTCATGTTATTATCACTCTCGGTTCACCAAAACATTAATCAACAACCTCATATCGCAAATAAAAAGAGAGATAGAGAGAGTGAAAGAGAGAGAGAGAGAGAGAGAGAGAGAGAGAGAGAGAGTGAAAAAGGAAAGAGAGTCCCAAACATACAATTATAAATAAAAGTAAGATAAACGACGATGATTCTTGTAATTTTATTTGATTTGGTGTGAATGGAATTCACTTGTATCGTTAAACCACCAACACAACCGAAACATCCACTATTATTGCTCGTTAGGACACACTCATACTCAGCTCTCACATTTACCACCTACTAAATACCGCGCATCTATCATAAA